TCATTGCCATTTTCCCCAATGTATCTGCGACTCTCTATTCTGGGTTAATGTGATACATATTGAACACAAACTCGTTATTAAAAGGTACCTGTGATCTGTATCTTATGAACTGATGCAGCACTAACAACAGCAGCCATGAGGAAACATGTCGCTCATTAATGCTGCCGCAGTCGTGACAACAGATCACTGAATCTATCAACGCATCCTGCACCTGGTGTGATGCACGTATGTCGGCCATGTGTGCCTTGAGAACGGGGGTCACTTATTACACTTCTAGTTTAGCCATCGTTGTCCCTGAAGCAGGGAAACTGAACAAAGCAGCTTTGCAGATAATAATACTTTAGGGCATGTTTAATAACAAATGCGTGACGAAAATTAAATTTGAATAACGGAAAAAACGTAAAACAGACCATACAAAATTGCAGGCAAAACTACAGACAAAATGAATATATAATTTTAACATTCACTCAAAAAGAAATGTAATTTCAAATTATAAGTATTCCAGAAGAGACATTTAAATAAAACCTTATCTTTTCTTCATTTCAGTTTCCGTCCAATCACTTTTTACTTCAAAGCTTGTTTTAATTTGTATACGTAAATTTTATCGCCACGCAAGCAGATAATTCATTGTCAGTACTTTATCGTAATCAAATAGATATAGTTAAATAATTATAATAAATATGCATTTTGTTAAATAATCAGTACAGTGATCATACATAGTATCGTCATAAAAATGATAAATAAAAAAACAAATATTACATCGGCAACCGAGTATCAAATCTTGTTTCCAACAAGAAGTACATTTTGGCCATCACTGGATCTACACAGGCACGAACATGTCATTCATCTAGGAAAGGGGCAGTGATCTCAGAGGTTGGGGGTGTTGACATCTAACTAGAAGTGACAAGGGGATCGCTCAAAATCCGAACAAAGCTATTTCCTATTCAAGTTCCTATAAGAAGACAAGAGACGCCAAATGCATCCGAGATGAAGCCCTAGCTAGAAAGACCCAAGGATAAAGCCTGCTGGGATATTAGTTAGTGAAATCAAAATAAGTCCCAATTGTGATGACCTTCATCCACCACCATCCACCACCATCACCATCACTACAACACGTTACACCTAACCCAGACACCCTCCCAAACAATCCCAAAGTGCTTTACATCAGATGTCACAGTGACTATAAAACATCCAACCCTATTACGATAAGTACTTAAATTAATCAGGAATTCCTATCCATTGTTCCCAACCCCAAGCACGGTCAATCAGTATTCATTGATGAACTAGAGGCAATTCATTACGCGCCGGAACTACCGGAAGCAAAGGTAGTCATCCTGTCATTGTCGCTACGTGAACTACAGGCCATGAACGGCAGACACTCAAGTTCTATGCCAAATACTGTTAACAAAATTCTATACGAAAATATACAAATTTGCTGTTCAGGGCATGCAACTGGAGCTATGTTGGATCCAGTCGCACATAGACATTCATGGAAATTAAAACACAGACTCGAGACAAGGTGGAGATGCAGCATATTTCTTTTTGCAAAACATGAGATAAAAAGCATCAATAACATCAATAGAGCAAGAATGGCAGTCCCAATGGGATGTAAGTAAAAACGGCAGATGGACAGATATGCAACATCAACCGAAAAACCAAAATTCCATGCTCATGCTCAAATGAAAGAAGAATTGAAAATCAGATGTTCGATCGTCCCTTAACACAACAGCCAAACAGAGTGAAGGCAGAATCATATAGGCACCAAAACAGATATCACAATAATTGCCCATTAGTCTAAAATCTTAATAGATTACTACCCTTCTCAGACACAAGAGCCCCCAAAGGGCGACAGTTAAGTCGCAATGGCTGTAGAAGAAGGCAGAATATTAAACAATCAAACCAAGAAGTAGCACAGTTGTTGTGAATACGGGAATAGTATCAGACCTGTTTTTACCTACAGGGAAACATAACTGTTCTTGAATGATCCTGTTTATATTTTGCTTGCTAGAAAAGGAACTGTTTCTCTGACATCGGCGCGTCACTTTAAATCTGCGCGTTAGTCATTTTTTTCTGTTAATAAAAATGTAATATATTTCGAATTTCCCGCAGCATATGAAACATATGCTTACGAGGGTTAGGATTTGACCTATCCTCTAACGATATAAATAAGCTTTCGGGAAAACCAAGTGTCATCACTTATTTTCATAAATCCATTTGTATAGTTTCTATCGCTATTTGGCTATTTATTCCCTATGGAATCTGTTTCAGCGGATGTTTGATAGTCATTATTCTCTGGTGTTGACGTTTGTAGTTTATGTATAACGTTCATATATATGCAATGTTTTATGCATAAATACAACTAGGTCGAACATATGTTAACGGGGTTAGGAGAGGATCCATAACACATAAATTTCACGGACTAATCAAGACGCTACATACTAACCCTCACTTTCTGTTAACATGGGGTAACATCTGCTAAAACCTAGGGCAACACGATCTTTTGCCATAAAATAACACTGGCATGATGAAACGGAATTTTATTGCATATTTGAGTTCCAAATGCAGCTCGCCTATATACCTCCCAGGCAGATGACTGTGCAAATTGACTGGGCACCGGTGCACAACCTTTGTTGGCTATGGTCCAGTGTACAGATAAGTTGCTGGCTGTCCAGAATAGACCTCACTCACTCACTCACTCACTCACTCACTCACTCACTCACTCACTCACTCACTCACTCACTCACTCACTCACTCACTCACTCACTCACTCACTCACTCATTAATGTCAATTTATCTGGAGCAGGTATTAAATGAATTGCAACATATTTATAATGAAAGATGTCGACGAAATGTGCTTATAACACACAGTGTTGTATATGATGAGTATATCTCACATTGCCGTGAATATTATTATAGTTTAGTGTACTTTTCCATCATGCCTCGTTAAAACGCACAACACCGATTGGTTCTCCATGAAGCAGCTGTTACAGCAATTATTTGTTTTCGAATCATATATTAGGAGTACAAATTGGATTATGCGAGCCTTTGACGAGCGTAACATATATTTTATATGTCTAATATATGACACATACTATACGGAAACATACGAGGGTCCTGCTCTCTTTGTCATATAATTTCCTATGTTATTAATATTGCTATTTAATACAGTAACTTTAGAACCTGAGTAGGAATATAAAGCATGAGTGTACCGCCTCATTTATGATATGGTGCCAAATGACTTGCAGCCATGATGGCTGTTCACATTAGCACTGACACATCGGGAATCCAGTCTTATGATTCAGGGATCATTGCTAGCAAGCAAGCCAACGCCACATTATGTTTAGAGACAACTAAAGTAGTTCCTGTTAGTCTACCTTATTTGCATAATTATCGGATTCAAGTTAAACGGATTGAAATATAATGCTAACCATTACATCCTACAAGTTCGCGATTGACATCGGTGATTCTCTGATGTCCAGATAAATATGTTCGGGGTCGTCAATAACATATGGTTGTGTTAGCTACATTGTAACACGGGGAGCGACAAAATGTCTAAATATGATGGTATAAATGTAGCAGCTCGTTAAGTCATACCGCAGATGACATCCTCACATGTTGCTGACGAAGCACACCTCCTTGGTCACGTTGACAAGGTGTCCGACCTCGCTCAGAAGGTCTTTGGTTCGAATCCTACATGGACCTCGGAAATGTTATAGCCGCTACATAAACACGTCGAAATCATAATTCATAAAAAACATTAATGTTACACCCTTCGAAATGTATTCGCCCTGCACTCCCACTCGCTTAATTCTTAAATATAGTACACTTTTTTAGTTACGTCATGGACTGACGTCATGGTGCTGTCCAGATTACCGCCCCCATGATCTAACGTATCCTAAGTTATGTCGTTCTTTCATTACCGTCAAACAAGATGGCGCATCCACATCAATTTTCGGTGAAATATTTCTTTAAACCTGTTGAAAAATTGAATATTATTACCTGGGAAGAAATATGGCAAGATGATGTCAACTATCTCTCATGCCACGGGGTTGTCCCACCAGTTGCTCAGTATATGGCATTTAGCAGCATTGTGCAGTAAAACAAAACGACCACTGTTGTGTTTCTGTCGCCATGTTCGTCCAACGATGATTCCATGTCAAGCCCCAGACCGTCGACAAAGTAGAGATAATCTATGGATAACAACTTTTTTATTTACTGTACAGGCTTCCGAGTCATGTCATTGTGATTAAACTGAAAAATATTTAAATAAAAACTTTAATCTAAATCTTACTTGTTTCTGCTTGAGATTATTTGTAATGAGACACTGAACGGATAATACAATGTGACTTATTTAACCATAATCTACCTACTTAAGTGGTATTGGCTTATGTTTAAAATGTATACTTTGTCTCTAAACAGGGAACAGACGAATAGGTGGAACAACCCATCAGTTAGCCCTGTTTCAGGATTTTCAATTTACGGCGCCGCTTATTGCAGATTTGATTCGCGTTTTAACTATAATAGTTCAGGACAAAACTGTGCTTAATTACACTAAACATAGGGATAGAGCAAAACCTCCGTAGCAATAGATGACGAGGTTTCTGAAATCGTGTTTATCCGTTGAAGTCCGCTTCCGTTATACACTCTTAATTCACAAAACACGAACGTACCCAGGCATAAATGTAACTGAGATAAGTTCCTATATCAGTCAAATGACATAAACGTATGCAGACAATTACCGATTTATGTATCAGCACCTAACAATCAGTGTAGGCATAGGCGTAGGGGTGGTCTAGTGGTTAAAGCGTTCGCCGGGCACGCTGAAGGCTCCTGGTTCGATTTTCCACACGAGTACAATGTGTGAAGCGCATGTATTGTGTTGCTGATATTGTTGGAATGTTGCTGAAAGCGGCGTAAAATTATACTCACTGTCAGTGTAGGTAACGAAAGAGCGAACTGAGCTTGTACCGTTGTATAAGGTATAACGTATTATGTTTTAGCAAGCGTTTCAAGTAATATCGGGATCTCTCCCAGCGGCCGTAGTGATCGCCAACCTGATCGGAGCAGGAGAACAGTGGTGGGTTCGGGCCGAGCTTCTCAGCTTGTGCCTCTTCACCAGTGGACTGGCAACTCTACTGCAAATTTGTGTTGGGTGTAGGTATGTCGTCTATCGCATCTACAGTAGGTATATACAGCTAACGTCTTTATCTTTAAAAGCTTAAAGGACATAATTAGCGTATGGGGCTTACATCTAAGGGGAATGTTGTCTCGTCATTATTGCGGCGGGGCCTGCTGAAAAGGTTTTGAATAAAGATATATAGTCTTAAATTGTATGTCATTTGTGTCTTTTGTTGGCTAAATGACCCTTTCGTTATAGGTTACCATTAATACAAGGGCCCGCTGGGACGATCTTGGTGGCCATTGTTGTCATTGTTAGTGATCCGAAATTAAGTGATGGTACGTGGTCAATAAGTTACACATGTGTATTTTGCCTTGGTGTTATGAGTTACGTTACGCTGCACCACTCTTGCCTTTTTAAAGCCTACTTTTGCGACACCAGGCTACCTCTGGCACACACTTAACACACCTGACACATTTTAACCAGGGAGACTATTCAAAGCCTTTGGAACAGGTTTCTGCATACACAAATTGTTAATGATCGGCACCACACAATGCGCCCTAGGCGAAGAACACAATTCACCATAAACAAGGCTTTGAGAAATCAACGGCGATCAGCCAATCATATCGCTATTCACTTGCGCGAGGCTACCGGAATTAAAGTTTTTTGGCATGACTAGACGGTTAGACATCGCCTGCATGCAGTTAATCTTTATGCTTGACGACCACGCGTTGAGCCACTTTTAACAAATTGACACATTCTAGCCAGACGCCATTGATGTTTGAGACGTAGAAACTAGGGGAATCGCCGATGGTTTCGTGTAATGTTTTCAGATGAGTCCAGATTCACGCTTGACTTTCTGGATCGGTGTGAACATGTCTGGAGGCATCCTAACGAACGCCATGCGACATTACAGATTTGAGGATGGGCCTGTAATGAAATGAGGCGAGGTCAATATGACTGCCAGAACGCCACTGCACACTGTCAATGGAAGGTCATACCATTGCAAATAGTTTTGTCGCTTGCGCGCCACGACGGTTTACGTTTTGACTTCCAGAACGACAACGCCTGTGCGCGTCATGCATGTATCTTAAATGACTACCTCCATCACAGAACAGCACCGTCATGAAAAAGCCAAATATGAGTCTTGACCTTTTCCCAAAAGAGCACGTCTGAGACATGATTGGGAGACGTGTACGCCGACGTCAAAGGCCACGCGCTACGTTAGCCGAACTGGGCCAGGCGCTGCAAGAGGAGTGGGAAAGACTCACTGTAATCGTCATTGGGAGACTGATTCGGACCATTCAACATCGTACAAACGAACATTTGATCAATCGTTTACTGCATGTCCAATAAGTGATCAAGCCATCTTAAACATTCATTGTACTACAAACCCCTGCCGTCCGAACGAACGTAATGCAAACGTCAATTTAAGGCAACGTGACAGATTTGACTTCAAATCTATCTGCCAACATAACATATCATGTACACATATACCTCGAGCTCTCATTGCTTGGTTGTGGTCACTCCGGCTTGATAACGGTGTAAGAAGCTACATCTAAACGTCGCTATATGCAATAAACTAGAAGCTCATATCCATAAGGGGGCACGGGTGGCCAAGTCGTCTAAGGCGCCGCGATTCGCTGTGCCCTTGGGAACACCAGAAACCTATGATTGTGGGTTCGAATCCCGGTTCGCCCCGATTATGTTTCTAGGTTTGTCAGCACCATACCCGTGCTCGTGGGTTTCGGCGAAGTGGTAAACGTCTGAGACCTGCATCACTTCGGGCTTTCCTCCCACATTAAGCTGACACGCCGTGATATAACTGTAATACTGTTAAAAGCGGCGTTAAACCCAACTCACTCACTCACTCATATCCATAAGGTTGCAGGTTTCTTATTTACACACGCCCTCTTGTCTTCCTTGGTTGTTTGCACCCTTACAATCCACCCATTACTATCACTCGATTCCTCCTTGTATTTCTGTCATCATCTATTATTTACGAATATCTCCTACACTATTTGGTGAGTGTATTTAATACTGTTTATCATGTAGCATGTAAACGGGATATAAGGACATTAACAAAATGGTAATGTGACGTACTGCTATTTTCTGATACATTTTTGGCATAAATAATAATTGTGACCCACCAGGAGAAAGGGGACCTTATAGGTGGTAGGATGCAGTTGTGTTTGACGTCACAAAGACGATGGACGTCAACTCAGTGAAGATCGCCATGTGTGCGGACTGTACAGAAAATCTTATATCTTTTTACTCGTTTGTTCGTAACGTAATAAAACATTTTTTCAACCTTTCAGCTCACATAACTACTTTCAATTCATAAGACAGTATGTCTAAAAATTGTAATTATTGTATAAACAGTTAAGACGGAAAATGAGTCCAAATGTTTGATGTCATTTATTTCTTTAATAAATATGAATTGAAGCTTATAGAGTTAGTTATAAAATATAATATAAAGTCCAAATGTGATTTTTCACCCATAAGGTCCCTTATCTCACAACTGCTGATACGACAATACATTTCACCCTATTTGTCTGCTCATACTTAGGCGCATTGCGTGAACGTACACCAGGAAATGACACGTCAACCGCACCGTGGAAGAAGCGGATGACCGAGGTGAGATCGTTGTGTCGTGTGAAGGGCCCTCCTAGATGATTGTTCTCTTTCTGTAACGATAAATACCCCCAGACCTCTCCCAGCTTAATAGTGTTGTTAAGAATAGATTTCTTTGAAGTTTTGGTTTTGGTTAAGAATCTAAATGAAAAATGAAAAATGCCAGAAAGACTGAAACATTTCAGTAGTCGCGGTATAAATCGAATTCGATGACACCAGGCGAGAGAAAGACCACGTGCCGCATGCTGACAACTGAAGTCATGACATACATGACTGACAACCTTTCATCTCCTGCCTCAATGGCTCAGTGAGTTGCAATACAAAACATGATATATAAGGTTGGAATTTCGATTAAGGTAATTTTCATTTGCAAATCATTGTAATTTTAGGCATAAAAATCAGCATAAACATATGAAGACTGTTTACACAATTCAGCTGTAAAACCTAGCGTTTACCATTCAAATGTAAAACCTCGAAGAGGTATCACTTGAAAATAGCACCTCCCACAAGGTTACTATGAGATAGCAAGATAGCTACAACACAACCGACAAAAGTGGCAATAGGTTTATAATTGCATTTCAACATGTTACAAGAATAACTGACGGCGACGTTTCATGTTACAAGTAATGAGAATGTTTGATATGTATGTTTCAATTCATTGCCAGATTATGCACATATGTTACACAATGTTGTATCCAGATCCAGGGTAACCTGATGCTGGCGTCTGGAGCTCAGTTCCTTCTGGGAGTCTCGGGAGCTCTGGGGTTCCTCCTCCGGTTCATTGGTCCTCTGACAGTGGCTCCAACCGTACTTGTCCTCGGAATTACGCTCTGTCGGTACATGATACCATTGTGTGAACAACACTGGGGCATAGCCAGCTTGTAAGTAGTCAGGGAGTACTAGGGGTGACACTCTGTTGGTGCATGATACCACTGTGTAAACAACACTAGCCAGCTTGTAAGTAGTCATGGAGTACTAGGGGAGACACTCTGTCGGTGCATGATACCACTGTAAAAACAACACTGGGGCATAGCCAGCTTGTAAGTAGTCAGGGAGTACTAGGGGAGACACTCTGTTGGTACATGATACCAATGTGTGAACAACACTGGGGCATAGCCAGCTTGTAAGTAGTCAGGGAGTACTAGGGGAGACACTCTGTTGGTACATGATACCAATGTGTGAACAACACTGGGGCATAGCCAGCTTGTAAGTAGTCAGGGAGTACTAGGGGTGACACTCTGTCGGTGCACGGTACCACTGTGTGAGCAACACTAGCCAGCTTGTAAGTAGTCAGGGAGTACTAGGGGTGACACTCTGTCGGTGCATGATACCACTGTAAAAACAACACTAGCCAGCTTGTAAGTAGTCAGGGAGTACTAGGGGAGACACTCTGTCGGTACATGATACCATTGTGTGAACAACACTGGGGCATAGCCAGCTTGTAAGTAGTCAGGGAGTACTTGGGGAGACACTCTGTCGGTGCATGATACCACTGTGTAAACAACACTGGGGCATAGCCAGCTTGTAAGTAGTCAGGGAGTACTTGGGGTGACACTCTGTTGGTGCATGATACCACTGTGTGAACAACACTGGGGCATAGCCAGCTTGTAAGTAGTCAGGGAGTACTAGGGGAGACACTCTGTCGGTGCATGATACCAATGTGTGAACAACACTAGCCAGCTTGTAAGTAGTCAGGGAGTACTAGGGGAGACACTCTGTTGGTACATGATACCATTGTGTGAACAACACTGGGGCATAGCCAGCTTGTAAGTAGTCAGGGAGTACTAGGGGTGACACTCTGTCGGTGCATGATACCACTGTGTGAACAACACTGGGGCATAGCCAGCTTGTAAGTAGTCAGGGAGTACTAGGGGAGACACTCTGTCGGTGCATGATACCACTGTGTGAACAACACTAGCCAGCTTGTAAGTAGTCAGAGAGTACTAGGGGTGACACTCTGTCAGTGCACGGTACCACTGTGTGAACAACACTAGCCAGCTTGTAAGTAGTCAGGGAGTACTAGGGGTGACACTCTGTCCGTGCATGATACCACTGTGTGAACAACACTAGCCAGCTTGTAAGTAGTCAGGGAGTACGAGGGGAGACGCTCTGTCGGTGCATGATACCACTGTGTGAACAACACTAGCCAGCTTGTAAGTAGGCAGGGAGTACTAGGGGTGACTCTCTGTCCGTGCATGATACCACTGTGTGAACAACACTAGCCAGCTTGTAAGTAGTCAGGAAGTACTAGGGGAGACAGTCTGTCGGTACATGATACCACTGTGTAAACAAAACTGGGGCATAGCCAGCTTGTAAGTAGTCAAGGAGTACCAGGGGTGACACTCTGTCGGTGCATGATACCACTGTAAAAACAACACAGGCCAGCTTGTAAGTAGTCAGGGAGTAATAGGGGTGATTCTCCGATTAATATGAAAATGAGATCACGTAGCAGGAACTACTTTCTATCTTCATACACCGATGCAGTGTCTTTTTCTCAATAAATAATTATTGTTGATTCACGTTAACAATATGCTTATGCAGAGGTTCCCAATGTATCCCCGTCTTTCTACAGACAAACGTGACTACAAGTCATCTGGCACTATATGATGAAAAGGGCGGTTCACTCAAACAGTGTATTCATGCGCTAGTTCGTTGTGCGACGTTTTGAACACATGTTAAAGGTCAAAGGAGTTAATTGACTTTAAAAGTCCAGTTTCCACCCTTACGCTGGAATTTCTGGGCTCAATCGTAGCGCAACAAGTAGTCCCTTCTATATCCTTCCAATTGAACAATCATATTTCACCTCTCATATCACTTGCATTTGTTTCAAATATAATGGCGGCACCCAGTCAAGAAGATCTGATCGATAATCAAAACCCTTTTTGTAATATAAAGGGTCTTATTTCGCGAAGTGCATCCAATCACATGAACACCATAATTTAAATCATGAAAAGATTTGGGAAATATCGGAGGTGCATTACCCGAGTTTGATGTGGCTGTGCATAGACCCGTTAGTCCAGCCAAAATATAGCTCCATGATTACAGCCTAGTTCTACAAGGGCAGAAACTGGACTTTTATAGTCAATTAACTAACTTGCCATGAGAAGATGCATTGAACATAGATTATTGTTAGAATGTGTGTGGTTGTGTTCTAGGGGTGACACTCTGTCGGTACATGATACCGCTATGTGAACACTGGGAAATATCCAGGTTGTGAGCAACCAGGAAATAGGTACATGATAAGTCTATGATATCGGTTGTCACAGAGGTAAGTCATGTAGGTTAAAGTTATGATATCTATTGTAGAACAATATCCCTCTACATCCTGTTCTCGGTCTTTCTGGTGAATGTGAGAATTCCGTTCCTAACGCTCCGTCGCCGGAAGTGTCATGTGACTCGATACGCACTATTTCAGTTGAATGCTGTGAGTATGTACACAATTTTCTCACCTTACATTAAAATACTTGCTGCTGATTGGTTAAGGAGGGGGACAGTTATTTTCGATGTAGCCGCTCGTGTAGCCCGCTAAGAAATACATCGTTAGTTTTGCTCCGATGTAAACTGGAAATTTATACCAGACCTGTTAAAATGATTGTCGGTAGGATAAATTCGTTGTCAACCGACCCCTCGGGGCATATGTGTGATGTATACAGTGGATGGGCCTTTGACCGGTCCCTATAAGTTCTCAAGTTAACTGATTACATACTAATATATAATAATTGAGCATACATGCTGAGGTCATAAAGCCACGGGTGGTCCAGTTATATAGATTCACTCAGATTAGTATCCTCGCCCTGTTGGATCCATGTTGGTACCCCTGATTTTATGACGGGTGTCACCGGTGGAGCAGGATGCGACCAAAATGTGATGCAATTTCCCTATTTTGACTTCTATCATGTGTTCCTGTGTATGTTCAGGTTAACAATTGACTTGCCTTTGCGTGTGTTTGCCACGGGTATCACCGGTGTGGCAGACTATACTGACCTTCTTTCCCTGGTACCATCATTGTTTGATGGGAATTGATAAACAAATGCTCATGATATAGTGGGATTCCGAAATGGTTTTCTGGCTTTTATTTGCAAAAGTGCTCGAGGTCTCCTATCATTGTAAGCCATCCTTCCATATACATGCCATGATGTAACTGGAATACTGTTTACTTTACCTACCTCACTCAGGTTAGACATTCATAGGACACTTTGCGTAGCATTCAGTGCAAGCCGGTTGTCAGGAACACCTACTGATATGTTTTCATTATTAATATGTACGTTCAGGTAATCTTGGCAGTTGCTGTGTCATGGATGACGTGTCACGTGCTGACAGTGACAAACATGTTGCCAGGTAACTCTACCTTACATGGTCACATGGCCAGGACTGACGTCAGGATGAGGGTCCTCAATGATGCGCCATGGATCTTCCTACCAGTACCATGTAAGTCGTTGTGTGAGAGTTTGTGTTCAAGGATTGTAATCGGCACTGTACCATTTACATATGTTTTCTGTCTAGTCCTCTGTTGAAAGAAGAGGGGATGTTCCATCAACGTATATACTCACCGCCGAAAGAAACGCGAGCCATATAAACATATATAGAGAAGTATGTAGGTTAAGAAGAGATGTTTCCAAGGTGTACCAATTAATGTAAAACTAACAATCAGTCAAGTGCTACCACAGTGTCTTTATTGCTATCACGATAACCTGCAAGTGATTTCCAAACTGATTTCCAACACGCTGATCCTGCACGAGACAAATAGTGCCTCTTGAGTCATGGACCAATGACATCACATTTGATGCGTTCAAGAGCATCGGTTCACACTACATAACTTTATGTTCGTCCATGCATCGAACAATATCTTGAAAATGTGAAAGTCTTCATATATCAACCAACATGTATGGTATTAGCGTTTCTTTTGGCGGTGAGTATATATGGTACAATCAATGTGTAAAGTCAGTCAATGTGTAGAATGTGATTCACTTCGGCAACTTACAAAATGCCAAAATAGATAATACTTTTACATTTTGAACATGGCTCAAAGTAGGTTTTCAATAAAATGAAATTTTCACGAAACTTTCTAATTTCTAGGAAATACTAACGTCATGATTCTATCCTCCTTAAACAAACTGCCATTTCTCAATTTATTTATTTGTGATCAAAAGTTGATTGATAGGCATTACTTAGAAGTTGACGGATGACAAGGTAGGCACAATTTTATGGATAACAACTTCTTTCATACTGTAGAAAGCAACGTTTCGGTAAAGATCCTTATGCCGTCGGTTTTTACAGTATTAAAGAAGTTGTTATCCATGAAATTGTGTCTACCTTGTAATCAAAACATTGCAAATTCAGTATTTCTGATCATATTATCTCTAGAGTTATTGACGCGATACAACTGGTATCCCGATCCGATAAATATGACAATATGGTCACCCCAGCAGGAACAACATACTATTTTCTCAATATATTGTTGATTAACGTTCCCAACATGTTCAGATAGGGGTTTCCCAAAGTGCCACCGTGTTTCTGCGGAGAAACATGGCTGAATGTCATTTGGCACAATGATGAAATTGGCGGTACACTCAAACATTGTATTATCCACGATATTATTTGTACTCCAATGTTAAATATTACGGAAGCACACAGGGGTAATAATTAATATTTCTCACTTGATTTACAGTTCCATATGGAATGCCCACCATAAGCGCTTCTGGTTTTGCAGCCATGGTAACTGTTACCATGGTGCTGATAATTCAGATACCAGGCACCTATTCTGCAACATCATCTGTAATTGACCTCCCTCAGCCCCCAGCCCACGCCATCAATAGAGGGATTGTGGTGGACGGGTTGACCGGCGCCATCAGTGGCATGCTGGGAGGGGTGATGGCAAGCATGGCTTATGTGCAGAGTCTGGGTGTGGTTGCTGTCACGAAGGTGGGTCTGCAGCCAGCCTTACTACTGAGGCTGCTGATGGTCAGTGCTTATAGATTGGCGACCACGTATTGGCTATGTGGTAGCATACTGTAGCTACATGTACGTACGGCATTGAGTGCCTTTGTATGTCCAAGGCCGAAACATGGTTTGAATGTTAACTTAAAGAGTGAGTAATATAAGATAATATTACCCTACCTTGGCCGAACGTATGGGGTAAAGAGGGAATTGTACTGATTATGAAGATGATGCAGCGCAAATCCTTCCAGGAACTAGTCATAACCCTTGCTGCACAGGACTAATTGGTCGCTAAATGTTGAGAACGGATTGTCGATACGCAAAATTTAGTGGTTTTATGTTTGTGAAGCGCGTTAATCAAGGAAGGTGTAGTTAACATTAAATATCACATACAATTCCAATATTATTATTCGTTCAGAATATGCACACACAAATGGCCAGGGATAATGTCAATCTGATTATGAATATCGAAATGTATTTTGTTCTTAAAGCAAATAATATTTATAGTTTATCAACAGGTTGCCAGTCGGAAGGTGTTTGTGTCAGCTGCCTTGATTCTGATGGTAGGAGGCGTTGTAGGCAAGGTGGGGGCGGTGTTCACAATCATCCCTGACCCTGTGGTGGGCGGGGTCAACTTGGTGGCAACGAGCACCGTGACGGCAGTTGGCGTGTCCATGTTGCACACAGTCGATCTGTCTTCCTCCAGGAACCTGCTCATCCTGGGGACATCTGTCACACTGGGGATCCTCCTCCCAGACTGGATGGCCGCCAACGAAGACTCTATCAACACAGGTATTACGATCTCATCCACCCGAGAGGTAGCTGTGTAAGGCATGGTTCTCAGATATTATCTCACCATGTTGTAAGCGTGTTGTTTGAAGATTTGCTGATGTATTGAAGTTGCAGGCAATATGAGTGAGTGAATTAGTGAGTATGGTTTTACGCCGCTTTTAGCAATATTCCAGCAATGTCACGGCGGGGGACACCAGAAATGGGCTTCACACATTGTACCCATGTCGGGAATCGAACCCGGGTCTTCGGCGTGACGAGCGAACGCTTTAACCACTAGGCTACCCGACCGCCCCTGCAGGCAATATGAGAATTGCGCTGTCGGGAACGACTGGAGACGGTGACAACCAGGTCACAGATTAGGGGGTGCGTCAAATGTAAAAACCGGTTAGCATCATCGTGAGGACTTATGTGCAGGAAATTTTCGGGACTTATTCTGCCTCACTCACCCGAGGTAGTCAATTATGATTTCAGGGGAAACACGCAGGAGCTATTCGGGTGTACTTGGGGGGGGGGGGGGGGGGGGGGTGTATCGGTTATGTAAATATAAAACGTCAACAGAGAATAATTAGTGTTGATTATCCATCAAAACAGATTCCACTGGGCGTTATTTTAAAGACGAAAGAGTGACTATAATGATATAAATTTATCACTGAAAATCAGTGATGACGCCACGTGTTCGTGTAGAAACGTCGTGAAATATGTCTTGAATATAATTTTTTAGGATATATTTATAGTAACAATGACTAATCATTAAGAGGTGAGAAGAGTCACTGAATCAGGTGCTACCGTTACAGAAGGTGCTACCATTAGAGCGGGTGCTACCGTAAGCATGGGTGCTACCATTAGAGCGGGTGCTACCTTTAGAATGGGTGCTACCTTTAGAATGGGTGCTACCATTAGAGCGGGTGCTACCTTTAGAATGGGTGCTACCATTAGAGCGGGTGCTACCTTCAGAATGGGTGCTACCATTGGAGCGGATGCTACCGTTCGAGTGGGTGCTACCATTACGAGGGATGCATCCGTTACCGAAGGTCCTGCAGTTACAGCTGGTACTATCATTGGTGTAGCTGGTGCTATCATTGGTGTAGCTGGTACTATCATTGGTGTGAGTGCTAACGTTACAGTGAGTGATCCCGTTAGAGTAGGTGCTACCATTGGAGTTAGAATAACTGTTAAGCAGGTGGTGCCAAAACAATTCTGTTTAAATGTGTTGTTTTTTCAGGAAACAAAGGATTTGATCAAGTCATAATCGTGTTGTTGTCTACACCGATGTTCGTGTCCAGTGTTTTGGGCTGTGTCCTAGACAACCTTGCTCCAGGTAATTAGGAAACATTGACTGGGTTGATTTCATGCTCATCATATCGATCACTGGAATGTCTGATCTAGACCGGCCTCAGCTATATTGCTGGAATATTACCTCGAAGCTAAACAAAACAAGTCATGTTCCCAAAAAGTTCACCTTGAACATTTAGTCACCCCATAACGTTTGCAATACATTGTAAAGTGTGTTATATCGCTGGCATTCTGTATTAGGCGTAAAAGGCGACTAAGCTTGTTGTAAGAGGCAACTAACGGGATCGAGTGGTCAGGCTCGCTAACTTGGTTGATGCATGTCATCGTATCACAGTTGGGTGGACCGATCCTCCTGACAAGAACCACTTGATTGCTAGGTCCAGACTCGATTATTTACAGACTGCCGTCATATAGGTTGAATATTGCGGCGTTAAACAAGATAAAAACATTTAACTTCTTTGATAGACATTTAGAAGTTGGAGTACTAAGTAAGGATAATAGTTTATGGATGAACAACTTCTTTATTACAATTAAGAGCGACGTTTCGGTGTAGCAAGTGATTTACAGAGTGTAGTAGGCAAGTATATATACAAGTAGGAGGCAATGTTTATACAGTAGAGTAGATATTGTTATAATCTGACCAAGGCTATTACATACCCCCGGCGTACCATCAACTCATCAAAGACCCCAATCAGCCATAATCCCGTTGTTCACATTACTGACTTCATCCTTTGTTTAAGGCACTGACTTCACCGATGATTGTCATCACTGCCCTTGTGTGTACACAACAGGCTTCTCTACCCCAGTATAACAATATATACTCTACTGTATAAACATTGCCTCCTACTTGTATATATACTTGCTTACTGCACTCTGTAACTCCAAACCCGCCTCCCCAATCCTCCAGCTTAACAATCAAACAATCAAATTTCAAAAACAAACCAAATTCTTAGGACTTATTTTCGATGAACATCTCACCTGGGATGCTCACATCCAAAACCTAACAACTAAATGCAGTAAAGACCTAAACACCCTAAGATGCCTAACTGGTTCTAACTGGGGAGCATCCAAAGATACCCTCCTCTCTCTCTACATATCACTAATTAGATCAAAACTAGACTACGGCTGCGCCATATACAACACCCTAAACAACTCTCTATCTAAAAAACTTGACTCAATACAATATCAGGCTCTCAAACTAATTACACGCACCCAACATGGCACCTCCTACACCTCACTTCAGGCCTTAACAGGAGAAATGCCACTAAGTCTACGCAGGGAACAGCTAAGCTTAAATTTCTGGGCCGCGTCCCAATCAAACCCTCTCATCCAAAACTTAATAAACCAAAACATCAGCCCCAAAAACCAAGCTCTTGCTCGTAAACACCCCTTACTTACCCCAATATCCCAAAGAATAACAAACTACCTAAATGAACACCAAATTAAAAATCTTAAACAAAACTGCAAACAATCAAATATCTTCACCCCTAAACTTAAAATACCCAAAATAGACACAACACTAGCTAGCCAAATAAATAAACAAACCGACCCAAACATAGCTAAAACTACCACACTAGCATACATACACGAAAAATTGGCCAAATTGGTGTCACATTTACACGGACGGATCCTCAGATCCGACCTCCAAACACACAGGTTTCGGAGTCCATACCACACAACCAACTAAAACCACACAATCCTTCCGACTCCCAAACAACCAATCAATATTCACGGCAGAACTAATGGGCATGGCCTCAGCCCTCCATAATCAAGAATCCAAAAACCACAAAAAAATCCTAATACTTACCGACTCCCTAAGTGGACTGCAAGCCCTCCAAAACAAAAATACCAAAAACCGACCTAAATTAATAAATCAAATACTTAAAAGCTCCAACGACCTAACTAAGGCAGGCAAACAAATAACCTTCTTGTGGATACCCGCCCACGTAGGAATATACGGTAATCAAAACGCCGATAAAGCAGCTAAACTATCCCTCAAAATCCCAGAAATAAGCTTAAACTTACCCATCTCAAAATCAGAAATTAAAAGTGTAAACAAGCAAAAAATCACCAAAAAATGGCATAACCTATATCTAAACTCAAATAGCCAAATCAAAAAAGTGCTCAGCAAACCAGTAACCAAACCAAAAATTCTCCATCCATCCAAAAAAATCGACAGAGTAATCACTAAACTCCAAACAGGACACACCAACCTAAATAACCACCTAAAAAAAATTAAAAAACACACTACAGGTAACTGCCCACACTGCAAACAACCAGAAACCCGAGAACACGCACTCATCCACTGCACACACTACCTAACACATCGAACCGCATTACAAACCACCCTCAATCTAAACAAGGCTCTAACTCTAGAAGCAATACTAAACCCACAAAATAAACTAGAAAACTTCAAGGCCTTAGGCGTATTCTTAATAAAAACGGAACTAATAAAACGCATCTAAAAACACAATAACCTACCAAATCAAAATCACATAAACAAACAAACATCCACCATACCCAGCTCCCTTAGTTCTCCTCCCCAATCCCATCGGCATCTATTCCAAATCTCAAAATTCCCAAATTCTATATAAGCAACCCCTAAAACCCCCCTCTTGGGTTGCACAGACCACTTTCGCCCCTTTCGGAAACACATTAAATGGCCTGGCCGGGCCCGTGTGCGAAATACGCATCAGTCGGAAAGCGCACGTTAAATCTCCAAAGTAAGTAAGTAAGCAGTATAACCTCTATCCTGAGCAACTAGTACAACAGACGACAAAGAACATCACCAAGAAATCCCCACGTCAACAGTCTGCACCCTTTGTGATCAGCCTCTCCTACTTTGGAACAGTTAGCCACAAAATCCAGAGACTCTTAAAGAAACAGGCCAACATTGATGTAGTTTTCAAGAGAAGTCATACCATTCAGAACACAATTAAAGCCACAGGGAAACCACCATCCAGCCACAAGCTAGAACCATCAGGAGCAGTGTACCACATTCCATGCAATTGTGGACAAGGGTACATAGGAGAAACATCTAGGCCCCTCAAAAGAACATCAAAGCTCAGTCTCCAAAGATGACTCTAAATCAGCTCTATCAGACCACACCCGTGACAAAACAAGCCACAGCATTCAGTGGGAGAGAGTCACAACCCTCGCCACCAACCTCGAAGACTTCAAGATCAGGAAACTACAAGAAGCTATCCACATCAAAAGACTCCAGCCGTCAATCAACCGTGACCATGACTATTACATAACCTCGATACATCAACTCATCAAAGACCCCAATCAGCCAGAATCCCGTTGTTTATATTACTGGCTTCATCCTTTGTTTATGTCACTAACTTCGCCGATGATTGTCATCACTACCCTTGTGTGTACATAACAGGCTTCTATAGATCTACTCCAGTATAACAATATCTACGCTACTGTATAAACATTGCCTCCATTGCCGCCTTAGGCGTATTCTTAATCAAAACGGAACTAATAAAACGCATCTAAAAACACAATAACTCACCAAATCAAAATCACATAAACAAACAAACATCCACCATACCCAGCTCCCTTAGTTCTCCTCCCCAATCCCATCGGCATCTATTCCAAATCTCAAAATTCCCAAATTCTATATAAGCAACCCCTAAAACCCCCCTCTTGGGTTGCACAGACCACCTTCGCCCCTTTCGGAAACACATTAAATGGCCTGGCCGGGCCCGTGTGCGAAATACGCATCAGTCGGAAAGCGCACGTTAAATCTCCAAAGTAAGTAAGCAAAGTAAGTACTCTGTAACTCACTTGCTTGATAACGGTGTTAGAACCTACACCGAAACGTCGCTCTTAACTGTAATAAAGAAGTTGTTCATCCATAAATTCTTATCCTTACTAAGATAAAAAACAAACAAAAGAAAACTGTACTATTCACGCACATCTGACATAAAGGGGTAATGAGGAGGTAGCTATGTTAAGAAGGGAGCTGACGTTGTCACTTCTGGTTGCAGGAACACTTGAGGAACGTGGTGTGGCAAAACGTGATTTAGCAAGACCATGCGATCGTTACCTGCCACAAGATGACCCTTACAGGCTGCCATACATCACCAGATTCATGGACAGAGTCAGGTGTTGTTCTTTCTTTCCTCTGTCTCCGACTTTTAACAAGGAGGTCACGTGTCAGCGGTGTGACAGGACTGATTCCAAACCCTGTTGAGGGAATCACGTGACATCAGAGACGTACGTGTGAGAGAGGATTTAGCAGAAATGATTGCAGAAATATCAGGAAGGGAGACAACAGTGTACATCAACTCGATCGTCTTATGGGAGTGAGTTTAGCAACATCCATTCAGGGGCACACAAGCAATGGTTCTCACATAATGTACCCATGTTAGGTATCGAACCCGGGACTTCGTTACAATAATCAAAAGCTTAAACCACTGGGCTACTAACGCCTTCAGAATGACCTCAAATATGCCTTGACTTGACTTTAAGTCAAGGTCCATACCTCTTTTGTACTGGAATACAAACCTCCATAAAATCCGTACAAGGAAATATATTGTTGGGTCCTGCAGATGCACCACCAAAACCCTGTCCAAAAGAATCACCATACTCTTAATACAATCAAGGAAGGACTTCCTTTATATTCAGAGACAAGTGGAATTAATACCACAAGCAAGCATAATAAAAAAAGGCAATTTGGCCAAGAAAGTTAACTTAAGCTTCAGATATATAGATGATCGCCAAATAACAGTCAAATGGCCAATTCATTTCAACTGATTAACCCACGTGAAATAGAAATAAAACCAAAAATATCTATTCATAAAGATTCAGAGCAATAAAAACACAATACAAAACAACATGCCCATGATACAGGCGGAATCGTATAATCGATTCGGTTTTGGGTAGAGATTGACTTGTGTATTTTGTGAATCTCGTGTATTTTCAGGTGAACAATTGACTTGCCTCTGCGTGTCTTTGTGACAGGTGCCATCGGTAGGGCAGGATACGCTCACTTTGTATCATCATTATTATTTTTATTGAGTGTAACCTTCAGAAGTGTCTTGACTTTTACCATAAGATGTGCCTTGAATAATAGAATATACATAACATTATGCATAATCACATTTGAGTTAGCTCACAACGGACGTTGGAATAATTAAACCAAACTGAAATGCCATTGGATAAACGCATTGGGGTATTGCGGATTGATGAAGGAAAACAGACAGTTCAGCGTCACAGGGACGACATTCTGATTGGTCGATGAGAAGGGACGTTAATCTGATTGGTTATGGAAAGATCGCGTCGGTATGAGTTAAAGAGCTTGCTAGCCATATTCGAAAATGGTGTCTTTGGAGGCATGGCGCAATAACGGGGAATCATGGGGTTTCAATGATACTTGATCAATGCTCTTGGTTAAATGGAGCAATATTTAACATAACCCTCTATTTCAGATACGTCCAATACGTAATGAGGACCTCGTTATTTGAACTGTGATCAAATAAACAAGACATATCCCATTAAGGTTTCTTTGAAACCCTCGAGAAGTGAGTGGTATATTTGTGGTTATCACCTTTGAATGCGGGAGGTAAACGCTGAACACGTCATCTTTCTCGGCTAACTAGGCAGTGTTAGAAACACGAATTGCCTGGTAGGGCAGGACATGCTTACCCTTTTCACAAGCACCTGGTGTCATCACTGATTTTCAGTTGTCCATTCATATAATTTGCGCAGCTTTTTAGCACTTAACACTAAATGGAATCTGTTTCGGTGGATAATCTAGACTGGTTATTCTCTTGCATTGGCAATCTATATTTACATCAGAGAAGATGTGAAAGCGCCACTTCTCCGACATTATCCCTCTCTGCGTGGAGTGTGGAACGTCGTCTGCATATGCCACTGTGTTTTCATCTCACATTTTGTTGTAAAGCGAGTATAAAACAACAACGGCTTTTGTTTCACTCTACTAATAAGATTCTAATCTGTTTCTAGATCCATGGATCTAACTTAAAAATAGGTTTGAAGAGGGACCGTAGCCAAAATAGCTCACATAATTCACATCTGTTACTCGTCTGTCTATCTGAGACGTAGAGTGGATCTTATTAAGTATAACATCATACGATAGTGTTGGGTGTGGGTTTATGAATCAGTTCAAGGATATATTGTTCACCAACATAGTCGACCGCCTCCGTGGTCTAGTGGTAGAGTGTCCGCCCGGAGAGAAGAAGGTCCGGGGTTCGATCCCCTGCCGCGTCATACCAAAAGACGTTAAAAGATGGTACTTGTTGTTACCCTGTCTGGCGCTCGGCATTAAGGGGCTAAAACAAGAACTGGTGGGCTCGGAGTCAGTATACTGTGTCTGAGTGGGGTATTCATGTTAAACTGCGGCATGGTATCTCAGTGGGCTAACACTATAAATCTGCATCAGTCCGGACTAGTACAAGCAGCCACACACACATATAAGTGCAATAATCTTGGACCAATTTCACCTCACCTCATCAACATAGTCTTGCCACAGCCACTCGTTCCAGCTAAGACAACATTGGGAGGGACAGTGAATCTGACATCCTCGGGAGCATGGTATGGCGTCGGCGGCTGCGGTGTTGGTAGATAGCTGTAGGTTACTTGCTGTTGCGGTGGTGGTAGATAGCTGTAGGTTACTTGCTGTTGCGGTGGTGGTAGATAGCTGTTGGTTACTTGCTGTTGCGGTGGTGGTAGATAGCTGTTGGTTACTTGCTGTTGCGGTGGTGGTAGATAGCTGTAGGTTACTTGCTGTTGCGGTGGTGGTAGATAGCCGTTGGTTACTTGCTGTTGCGGTGGTGGTAGATAGCTGTTGGTTACTTGCTGTTGCGGTGGTGGTAGATATCTGCTGGTTACTTGCTGTAGCGGTGGTCGTAGAAAGCCGTTGATTGTTTGCTGTTGCTGTTGTTGCTGCTTTGATGGTAGATAGCTGTTGGTTACTTGCTGTTGCTGTTGTTGCTGCTGTGGTGGTGGTGGTACATAGCTGTTTATTACTTGCTTCTGCTGTTTTGGGGCGTGGTGGTGGTGGTAGACAGTTGTTGGTTACTTGCTGCTGTGGTGGTTAAGAAAAGACTTATCTGAATCCGAATTAACGTTAGTCGCAGTAAGAGATACCGCAATAGCGATTGATTTGGCTGACAAAAATGCTCACGAAATTCATCGTTGAAGTACCAGTGTACAGACTGGCTTGTCAATAAACAAATTCACGAACATGCGGCCAACCAATGAAAAGGCTTCTTCACGACCTCAATGTGACAGTCCAAGTTCACAGGAACAATTGTGCTTCCGGTGTGGATATTTCAATCACTCGTCGGGCAGTTTCAAGCACAAGCCCCATAAATGTAACCAGTGCAGCAAGATTGGACATTTACAGTCGCAATGTGGATCTAGTGGGAGAAGCGAAAAGGTTATGACAAAATTTCTGTGTGAAGTTGACAATGAACCTACGAAAATGAAGATGACACACTTGGTTTATTTCACACGTGGAATAAAACCGGAAGTTGTGATTTGGTGATGGTTGACGTGAATGTAAACAACATTCCAGTATCCACGGAACTTGACACCGGCTCTAACGGTAATACCTAGAAAGGTGTATGAAGACAAGTTTGCGAAAGTGAAACTTTAAAAGACGGAGACGATATACGCAACGGCCATGGTAACCCGATGCACGTGAGTTCCGTGCAAATTGAAATGCACATGCATTCCCCCATTTCTTGCCCTATAAAAATCCACCCAGAACGGATAACATTCATTCGTTATTGAATTGCTGCCACATGCCAAGATTGACAAGAAATCAGCGACACCAAGCCCTTGGAGGATTGCTAGCTGGACAAACCGCCCGGCAAAAGAGAGAGAGAGAGAGAAACAGACAGACAGACAGACAGACAGACAGACAGAGAGACGCCGTGGGGAACGTTATTCGGATGCTTGTGTTGTTGAGAGACTCATGGGGTGATCCGAGCATCATGGCGTGGGGTGGACTTGGTCTTGCACAGAGAGTCGGCCCTGTGGTCTTCCAGAACATTGGTCCTGGTAGAGGCAATGGTGTCACGGCAGCTCGGTACATTGATCAAGTCTTGAGACCACACGCCATACCTCATTTGGCACGTCACCGCAACCACGAGTTTCAGCATGATAACGCCTGAGCCCACACTGCGAGAGCAACAAGAGACTTCCTCCAGCAGAATGGCGTCAGAACCATGCAGTGGCCTGCCCTCAGTCCTGATTTAAATCCCATTGAGCACCTGTGGAACGAGATTCAAAGATAGCTGAATGACGTCCGACCAAGGCCGACAACTGCAGCTAAACCGCGTCAGGCGTTCCTCAAGAGTGTCGGCTCAAGTGCCTATGGCCTTCATCAACCGCCTTACTATTTGATGTATGTACGTTGCACAGCAGTCATCAATGCACATGGCGGACACACGAGATACTGACTTGTGAAGCCATTTTCTCAGACTAGTGTTGTGTTTCACTTTAAGAACATTTGACACTTTAATTTCAACCTTGATGGTCAGTTTTGCCAAGTTTCATGTTTTTAATATGTCTCAAAGTATGTGAACAGTGTTTGTACTAATAAGGTTTCTCATATATCTATCCATGGTGACGTTTCTCTTGTGGTTCAGTATGTATTTGGTTGGTAATTCACTTTGGAAAAATGGAATGCAAATTGGACTATAATAAACCAAATAGATACTAGCTGTATATTTCCTCAAGTTTGTTGTACATGCACCAAGACAATCAGTACAAACACAGCATTGGTTGTATATACACTTTATTAACACATACCATGTGTAAAATCATGTGGAGGAATCAAGTGAAATGCATGTACAAATTCATACACCATCATAACACTCATGTCAAGATTAGATGGTTAATCGACTTCATAAAATACAAATGAAAATGGATTAAATTATTTAAAGAAATCTAACAACTACCATGACATCCTAAGTTTCCTTGGTTACACTAACACTGCATCATAGTCCCATAGAAGTATCACAGAAACTACAGAATACATTTGATTAAAAACTGTCACATCAAAGCACTGGGCTTGTTCCTGCTTAAATGATTTGGCCATTGAAACCAGGGCTAACAAAGGGAGACAACTAAAACCTGAACATATGGGTAAAAACAACAATATGTGTGGCCAAAGGTACTAATACCGCTAGTCAGTCTTTTTTTCTGTAATGCAAATTATCAAAAATAATTGTCCATATCCTTCCAGGCCCGGCTTTATTAAGTCATCCGCACTGGGAGTATCTTCACTCACAGGACTTATTGAAGTCTTAAACATTCATCCGGACTTCTTGGATTTGTAGACACAAGTTCATCCATTATCACTGAATACATACCGCTGTTGTGTGTTTAATCAATCAATCAGATTTCAGCAAGAGGGAAAACAACAGTGCTCAGACCAATGAGCGTTCAGATTACATGACACAAAAAGGCTGTATTTCTAACGTGACAGGCCTTGCATCCAGTGTCTGTACACACTGCTTCAGACACCAGTTGGGTTTACACAAAGTTTGTGCATGGAGTGCGCTTCCTTTGACTTCCTTAAGTTATACCCTGTCACATTTCATTACGTTTTGTTGTGTGTTTGTTTATTGTTAAACGCCACACTCAGCAATATTCAGCCTTTATGACAGCGGTCTGTAAATAATCGAATCTGGACAAGAGAGTCCTGTGATTGACACCATGAGCATTGATCCACGCAATTGGGATACGATGACATGCATCAACCAATTCCTCAAGCCTGATCACCCGATAATTGTATCTGGACAAGAGAGTCCTGTGTTTGACACCATGAGCATTGATCCACGCAATTGGGATACGATGACATGCATCAACCAAGTCCTCAAGCCTGACCACCCGATCCCGTTAGTCGCTGTTAGATCACCGTCATATAGCTGGAATATTGCTGAGTGCATCGTTAAACAACAAACAAACATACAAACATTACTAAGATAGAAAAGCGATGTCATGACTATACCACAAACTGGCCCTATGTATTCATAGTTACGGAGGAATCTAGTGTATATAAATTTGTGAAGTATGCATGATGTGCCTTGTCTTTAGTTCGCTCTTGTGAAGTCTGAAGCCAGAAAGAGTGTGGGCCCCCTGTACAATAGGAACATTACTATGCCATGAAGTAACCAGGAAACTTCAGCTACAAGTAAATATAACCTCCCAGATTGTCTATCAAGAATATTGTTTCATACATACAATGACCAGAATACAATAGTTTTGACATATTTTCCCAACAGCGAAATGCATTTCTTGCTAAGTGGACAATGTAAAACACAAGATTCGAGGGAAGAGACAGACAAGCGAAACTAGTACTCAAAGTGATGATTCAGGGAATGAATGAGTTTAGTTTAACCCAGTCTTCAACAGTATTTTATTGGAATCACGGCTTGTGAGCTTGATGGTGGAGGAAACGATGATGTCATTAAACAACCAAATAATGATGTCACCATCATGACGTCACTAGCTATTAAATAACATCACTATTCTATCAAATGTTGACATCACGATACAATCAGATGATGACATCACAATACAATCAGATAATGACATCACTATACAATCAGATAATGACATCACTATACAATCAGATAATGACATCACTATACAATCATAAAATGACATCACTATACGATCAGTTAATGACATCAACATACAGTCAGACAGTGACATCACTAAACAATCAGTTAATGACATTCCATCATGGGATATCATAAGTCTAATATTAGCAACAGGTGGGAAAACCTTTCAGAAAAGGTCATGATTTGATTAAGATCAAAGTCTTATTGTACTGGAATATTGATCTTGTGTCCTGATGAAGAGATGATATTTTTCTCAGCCAATAAAAATGCCACAATAAGATACACATTCAGTTGAAGATGATCATCAAACAATGATGTCATTAAACCACATAATGGTCACCATCATGATGTCACTAAAACAGCTATTAAATAACATCACTACACAATCAGATGTTGACATCACCATACGATCAGATAATGACATCACTATACAATCAGACAGTGACATGATTAAACAATCAGATAATAAGTCTACATCTCATTGAATATTGGTCTTGTGTCCTGACAAAGAAGACACTTTTCTAAGCCAATCAACAACAAAACCTGTCACTCTAAATTACCAGAAGCGCCTATGTAAACATAGTGTCCCTGCAAACCTGCCTGCAGGTGACCTAGCTTACACAGGTCATAATCCACTGTATTAATCACCAGGGAAATATGCCCCTGCCTCATGAGGATGGGTCATCTTGGGTCATTATGACAGTGCTGTACCTGAGGGTAATCTGCTAGCTTGAGCATCTGTCCCAAGCAAACTAAGACAAGCAGCATGTGTAGAAGTCACAACCTGGGCATCACCTGCAAGCCCTCATCAACACAGCAGCACACCACAGGTCATCAACACACATATACTCATGGGCAGAAGTAAGGGAATACAGGGAGGCATGTGTTTGGTGTAACATTCAATATGTAAATTTCCCCCCCATATATACTCACTGCCAAAAGAAACACAAACCATAGAAACATATAGAAAAGTATGTACGTTATAAAGTGATGTTTCCAATGTGTACCACTTACCACTAACAATCAGTCAAGCGTTACCACAAAGTCTCTATTCTTATTATGATATGCTGCACATGATTTTCAAACTTTACACGCTAATCCTGCACTAGACAAATTGTGCATCTCGAGTATCAATGACGTAACAGGTGATGTGTTAATGAGCATCGGTTCACACAACATAACAGCATGTTCATTTGTGCATCAAACCAATCTAATAATTCTTTAATACGAGTAATTCTTCATATATCGACCAACACGTATGGTATTCAAGTTTCTTTTTTTGGTGAGTATATTTCCATTCAGGTTTTAGTTCAAGCGCAGCCACCAATTACCAATATATTGGATCCATGTTTGGGAGGAAACAGTACAACATACAGTGTTGGTGGGTGATGGGATCCTATAGGACTTCCCTAAATCTTAACTTTTAATATTGGGTGTGTGACAAGGATCCCTTCTATTCCCTTGACTTTCATGCATAATTTTGAACACTGCTATGTGTGTTGTACATTCAAAGGCAGCCATCATCTGGCTGTACAAGCAGACAACACCTATGTCTTTTACTTGAAGATGCTAAAACAAGCTGCACTGATGCCTCCCTGCTTGCACCAGTGCATCTCATACCTCACATACAATTCATACACACAAGATGCCAGTGGCTCGAACTTTAAGTCTTCATGCTGGGTATCACAAATATCGTGGTGTAGATAGATGACAAACAATATGGTTCTAAATACCAAATTGTGAAACTTGCAAGGCAACAGGAAACACCCAAGGAAAACGTAAACATCTAATTCTTGTGTGTGAGCATGAGGTTCTTGGCTTTCCAAATGTTACTCTACGAAAGTGTAAGCCTCACCCAAACTCTCATCCCAACCCAGCCCCGCCCACCCAACTCCACCCCACCCCACCCCACCCAGGATAGTTGATAGGATGGGATGTATAGAGTCCCACTGTCCCTCACTATCTCATCCCCTTCCCTTTCACCCAGCCAATTTAGAACCCACCCCAAACTAGCTCCCACCCCTACCTGAAAAATTATATTCCCATCATAGTCTTCTCAACCTCTGACATTCATTTTCACCTATTAATTCAGTTCCAATCAAGAGAGCAGCAGTTTAACATTGAAAGTTCCTTGTTTAGAGTTCGCCATTGGAAAAGTCCATGCTCAAAGGTGTTCAGAGTTTAGATCTGGCCTTGGAACAGTCCATGTATGGTTGAGCCAGGGGGTAGAGGGCCAGGTTCCTCTTGAAGTCCCACACATCTTTCACCACTGTTGCCTAAAACACAGAGAGACAGTAATGTCACTGGGACATATATTGCGAATTCACCAAAATGTTTCATAAAGAGAAAAACAAACATTATGAACCCAAGTATTTGTGTGCTTATTTGAAAAGAAATCATACTTTTTCAAATACCCCCACTAAATGTGACATTATATGACAGCATAGCATGAGTGATTTGGCATCAGAAACCTATAATCATGGGTAGGGGTCCTACATTAAACCAGTGGCACCTAAGACCAGTAGATCCTTGAAGGCTCCTATGACACCGGAGACCAGGAGATCCTTGCTGACTCCTATGGCACCAGAGACCAGTAGATTCTTGCAGGCTCCTATGGCACCTCAAACCAGTAGATCCTTGCAAGGCTACTGTGGCACCTGAGACCAGTAGATCCTTGAAGGCCCCTATGGCGACGGAGACCAGGAGATCCTTGCTGACTCCTATGGCACCAGAGACCAGTAGATCCTTGCAGGCTCCTATGGCACCTCAAACCAGTAGATCCTTGCAAGGCTACTGTGGCACCTTAGACCAGTGGATCCTTGCAAGGCTCCTGTGGTACTTTAGACCAGTGGATCCTTGCAAGGCTCTTGTGGCACCTTAGACCAGTAGATCCTTGCAAGGCTCCTATGGCATCTTAGACCAGTGGATCCTTGTAAGGCTCCCATGGCACCTGAGACCAGTAGATCCTTGCAAGGGTCCTGTGGCACCTGAGACCAGTAGATCCTTGCACGATTCCTATGGCACCTTAGACGAGTAGATCCTTGCAACGCTCCTGTGGCACCTTAGACCAGTGGATCCTTGAAAGGTTCATATGGCACCGGAGACCAGTGGATCCTTGCAAGGCTCCAATGGCACCTTAGACAAGTAGATCCTCTACGGCTCCTATGGCACCGGAGACCAGTAGATCCTTGCAAGGTTCCTGTGGCACCTTAGACCAGTAGGTCCTTGCAAGGCACCTATCGGACCTAAGACCAGAAGATCCTTGCAAGGCACCTATGGGACCTAAGTCCAGTAGGTCCTTGTAAGGCTCTTGTGGTACTTTAGACCAGTAGATCCCCACAAGGCTACTGTGGCACCTGAAACCAATAGATCCTTGCAAGGTTCCTGTGGCACCTTAGACCAGTGGATCCTTGCAAGGCTCCTATGGCATCATACCAGTAGATCCTTGCAAGGCTCCTGTGGCACCGGAGACCAGTGGATCCTTGAAAGGCTTCTGTGGCACCTTAGACCAGTGGATCCTTGCAAGTCTCCTGTGGTACCTGAGACCAGTAGATCCCCACAATGTTCCTGTGGCACCTTAGACCAGTAGATCCTTGCAAGGCTCCTGTGGCACTGGAGACCAGTGGATCCTTGAAAGGTTCCTATGGCACCGGAGACCAGTGGATCCTTGCAAGGCTCCAATGGCACCTTAGACAAGTAGATCCTTGATAGGCTCCTATGGCACCGGAGACCAGTAGATCCTTGCAAGGCTCCAATGGCACCTTAGACCAGTAGGTCCTTGCAAGGCACCTATCGGACCTAAGACCAGAAGATCCTTGCAAGGCACCTATGGGACCTAAGTCCAGTAGGTCCTTGTAAGGCTCTTGTGGTACTTTAGACCAGTAGATCCCCACAAGGCTACTGTGGCACCTGAAACCAATAGATCCTTGCAAGGTTCCTGTTGCACCTTAGACCAGTGGATCCTTGCAAGGCTCCTATGGCATCATACCAGTAGATCCTTGCAAGGCTCCTGTGGCACCGGAGACCAGTGGATCCTTGAAAGGCTTCTGTGGCACCTTAGACCAGTGGATCCTTGCAAGGCTCCTGTGGTACCTGAGACCAGTAGATCCCCACAATGTTCCTGTGGCACCTTAGACCAGTAGATCCTTGCAAGGCTCCTGTGGCACTGGAGACCAGTGGATCCTTGAAAGGTTCCTATGGCACCGGAGACCAGTGGATCCTTGCAAGGCTCCAATGGCACCTTAGACAAGTAGATCCTTGATAGGCTCCTATGGCACCGGAGACCAGTAGATCCTTGCAAGGCTCTAATGGCATCTGAGACCAGTAGTTCCTTGCAAGGCTCCTATGGCACCTGAGACCAGTAGATCCTTGTAAGGCTCCTGTGGTACCCTTAGACCAGTAGATCCCAACAATGTTCCTGTGGCACCTGAGACCGGTGGATCCTTGCACGGCTCCTGTGGCACCTATGACCAGTGGATCTTTGCAAGGCTCCTGTGGCACCTTAGACCAGTGGATCCTTGCAAGGCTCCTGTGGTACCTGAGACCAGTAGATCCCCACAATGTTCCTGTGGCACCTTAGACCAGTAGATCCTTGCAAGGCTCCTATGGCATCTTAGACCAGTGGATCCTTGAAAGGTTCCTATGGCACCTGAGACCAGTAGATCCTTGCAAGGGTCCTGTGGCACCTTAGACCAGTAGGTCCTTGCAAGGCTCCTCTGGCACCTTAACCTGTAGGTCCTTGCAAGGCACCTATGGGACCTAAGACCAGTAGATCCTTGCAAGGCACCTATGGGACCTAATAAATAGATCCTTGTAAGGCTCCCATGGCACCTGAGACCAGTGGATCCTTGCAAGGCTCCTGTGGTACTTTAGACCAGTGGATCCTTGCAAGGCTCTTGTGGCCCCTTTCACCAGTAGATCCTTGCAAGGCTCCTGTGGCACCTGAGACCAGTGGATCCTTGCAAGGCTCCTGTGGTACTTTAGACCAGTGGATCCTTGCAAGGCTCTTGTGGCCCCTTTCACCAGTAGATCCTTGCAAGGCTCCTATGGCACCGGAGACCAGTGGATCCCCACATGGCTCCTTTGGTACTTAAAACAAGTAGGCAACCTACCGTTGGTCCTGTGATGATGACCTCCTCCTCTGGCCCATCTGTCCGGTCACTGACCGGCTGCGCTGTCGTCTGATCCCCATTCATCCTGTCACCAGGGTTACTCGAGATGATGTGCACGCTCAACTTGTGCCGCCTGGGAGCATCAGCATCTATGTAGGACTACAAGCAAGACATGAAACATTTAAGCAACGTCTTTGTAAATAAAGAAGACATAAATCAAGGAGTGATTGAATATTGTAATGAGCAGTACTGTAGCCAATATGTGTCATATCGCCGTCTAGTATGATAAAAACTAGGGCTGTGTACTGGCAAAAGATCTGTACTGCGATATACTGCGATACGTATTGGAATATATTTGGAGCTAAAGGGTTAGACACTGATTGTACACACAGATCCTTCTTGCGACATACTAAAGAAAATATTATGCATGGTCAGTTGCCACCATTTTGTAGTCATGGATACAGGGGAGATAACAACATGAGAGAAAAACTCCTTCTGAAATTCCTGCAGTTTTGTAAAAAAATTAATTTGTGACTGAATTTCAGTGTGGATTTGAGGTTAAATGATACACACAATGATGTAACTTATAAAATATAAATTGATCCGACGGTTACTTTAAGGATTGTGACATTTGATTCTAAATGATGACATGATAGTGAATTGTTCCAGGGTAATATATTGGAGTGGAGATGTAATACCCAAGAAAATCGAGGACGCCATTGTCACCACGCTAACTATCAGACCGCCTCTGTGGTCTGGTGGTAGAGCCTTCCCCCGGAGAGCGGAAGGTTCGGGGTTCGATCCCCGGCCGCGTCATACCAAAAGACGTTAAAACAAGGACTGGTCGGCTCGGAGTCGGTATACTGTGTCTGAGTGAGGTATTCATGTTAAACTGCGGCATGGTATCTCAGTGAGCTAGCACTATATCGGCATCAGTCCGGACTAGTACAAGCAGCAACACACACACACATATGTGCATGCACGTCGCTATATAAGTGCAATAATCTTGGACGCGACGTTAAACCCAATTTCACCTCACCTCACTTTAACTATCTATGCTACTTACCTTGTAGAACGTATATAAATCTTCCTTGCTGATTGTCTTCAAATACGCTACTTCCACGTTATCTAAATAGAAACATACATTCTTTACTATCAGCTTAAACCCATTAAACATTAATCATTAACATATATGTAAAATAAACAGTAGTCGGAGTATTAAGTGAACAAAACAGAGTTGGTGCAATGTGATACCATGTGCTAAGATATGCGTATCCAATTGTTAGGTCAGGAGTGAGTTTGGTGAAATGCTGCTTTGAACAGTTTGTCAGTTATTTCACGGCATGTCAGCTTGATGAAGGAGGAAACCCAAAAGTGATACTGGTCCTAGGCCTTCACCACTTCACATAAACCAAAAAATAGGTCTGACAATCTTAGCAACATAATCAGGGCAAATCTGGCATTCAAACCCATGCTCATAGGTTGCTGGCATGCCTAAGAGAGGCAACTCTGCTCAACTCTCTCATGCATGCATAACTCTCACATACTGTGAGAGAGTGTGTGATAGAGTGAGTGTCATTTTATTCACATGTAACAATATTCCAGGCATGTCCTATTGGGAGACACCAGGAATGGACTTCTGGTGAATCAAACCCAGGCTTTCAACATGATGAGCAAATGCTTTAACCAGTAGACCACCCTACTGCCCTCTTTCATGCATTAAATACCTCCATGTTATAAACCTCCAGTGACATCATCCTATTGTTCTCCTGTCTGGTTAAATCTCATAAACAGGGATGTTATAATATCCCCGGGATTTTACATAATATCCCTGGGATTTTATATAATATCCCCGGGATTTTATATAATATCCAGGGGATTTTACTAATACAATTTCGATGGTAACATATGGTTAGATGGTAACATATGAATGTTTCTAGCTAGAAAAATATTTGGCATGTTAACACAATGTAATGAAATGTGAGTGAGTGAGTGAGTGAGTATGGTTTTACGCCGCTTTTAGCAATATTCCAGCAATATTCCAGCAATATCACGGCGGGGGACACCAGAAATGGGCTTCACACATTGTACCCATGTCGGGAATCGAACCCGGGTCTTCAGCGTGACGAGCGAACGGTTTAACCACTAGGCTACCCCACCGCCCCTGTAATGAAATGTAAACTGTTTTCCTTACATGTATATTCCAGAGGAGTGAACACGCAACCTTTGTATCTGTAGCCCAAGTTTGTGTACCACTAGGCTACAGGGGCGCTAATAAATCACAATGCTTTCCAGAATGTATTTTACAAGTACCGTACACCAGCAACAGATATTTTACGCCTGTTTCCTCTAGTGCATGGAAAGTATGTTTGAAACATAAAAATGTTGATCAATGTTGTTTCAAGTTTCTTTTTTCGGTTTGTAAGATAGATAAAACATTTTCTCTCAGGTCTTTGTGATATTTAAAACCTCTATTGTTGGGATAAAACCTTGAGGCTTATGCCCCTTGGTGTTATCCCGTGGATGCAGGGCTTAAATATCATAAAAACCTTCAGACGTGGTTATCCTACACATAACACTTACCTCTGTCAAAGTGGTACTGCTCCGAGATAATCTCTCCCCAGTACTTGCCATTCAGCACAGACAACTTCTTGGGCTTCTCCAGACGTTTAGCTGCCAGGGCCTTCACGTGCTTGTCAAACTCCTCTTCACTCATCTTGTTGATGTAGTCCTACACACAGAAAAATAGTTCCAGGTCAGTATTCCTGCAGTGTCCACCCAAATGCCTCCATCATACCAGTTGGTGAAGACAGAGGCACATGTTACCTTGCGTTCAGTCAATCCGTTTTCATGTACCCAAAAGTGAGTGAATGTTGTTTTCAGCCTCTAGGGGCGGTCGGGTAGCCTAGTGGTTAAAGCGTTCGCTCGTCACGCCGAAGACCCGGGTTCAATTCCGGACATGGGTACAATGTGTGAAGCCCATTTCTGGTGTCCCCCCGCTGTGATATTGCTGGAATATTGCTAAAAGCGGCGTAAAACCATACTCACTCACTCACTCACTGTTTTCAGCCTCAGACAGTAATATTCCAGCTATATCATGGCACGGTGTAAATTATCAAGCCAGGCATACCAGCGATTGATGGAATGCGAAACAATCCCATGGCCCATACACAAATATTGGCATCTTTATGTCCTTTCCAAGACAATGATCATTGGGATGATACTCTACAGAACTGACCCGTGAAGATCCAGGCTAGAATAGGTCTTCAGCAACCCATGCTTGCCGTAAAAGGCGACTATGCTTGTTGTAAAAGGCGACTAACGGGATCGGGTGGTCAGGCTCGCTGACTTGGTTGATGCATGTCATCGATCCCAATTGTGTAGATTATGTTCATGATGTAAATCACTGGATTGTTTGGTCCAGACTTGATTATTTACAGACCGCCGTCATATAGCTGGAATATTGCTGAGTGCGGCGTAAAACAACAAACCAAACAAACCAAATCTCTTCAGAACTTACATCAATAGTCTTGAGGAAGGCTTCGACCCGAGACTCCACAAAGGATGGTTGTCGGTCTGACTGGACGATCACTCGGAGTCCCTGGACACCGCTGGACCGACGCAGACCACTGAACACTATATACCCTGAAAACCACACAGCATTCATTGATACAAAGCAATACCATACATTATGTATAGTTATTTTACATTAATCTAAAGTAACAAGTCCTTCAACACATATGAATCTACAACACTGATCCTACTATTGAAGCTACGATCCAACAACTACTTTAGCAATGTAATCAAAGTCGTTGTAATATCCCTTTTGTTTAAAGTTATAGAATTAGGGAATCCCTGGTTTCAAATACAATAGCAGCTAACCTGAAGGACCTCAGTATCCACCCTTAGGTTTAACAATGGCTAGTCAATACCTGCTGTCATATGAATTTTCATATTTCTGTATGACATCTGTATACAGTCTGCTTATGTAGCTAATATTATACAAAGTTGCCAAGAACACAGGCACCATCATATACAGTTGACAACTGTCATAACTGCTTGATCAGCTTGTGTAAACTGTCAACACCCGATATGGTAATTGGTGGGAAGTGCAACTTCCCGAGGCAAGGGCATTAACTGACTGTAAAAGTCCAGTTTCCACCCTTGCCAAACTAGGCTTGAAATTCCAGGGTCAATCGTGTTGCGCCACCAGTGACTATTATGAGTCAAGTCCCTTCTATGTCCCTCCTATTGACCAATCATATTCCATCTTTTATATCACTTGCATTTGCTTCAAACAAAATAGTGGCGCACAGTGAAGACAATCTGATCGATAATCAAGATCAATATTGTAATAAAACAGGTCTTACTTCGCAAAGTGTATAAAATCACTTGAGCACCATCATCAAAAACATGAAAAGATTTGAAAAATATCTGTCAACGCCCAGTAGGCTTTACAAATCCTGAAGTCGACCGAAATCTGCATGTTGCTAACAAACCGGATGTCTAGTTCGTTACGCAATTTTGAATCGACTATGCATAGACTCGTTAGTCCAGCCAAAATGTAACTCCGGAATTCCAGCCAAGTTTGGCAAGGGTGGAAACTGGACTTTTATAGTCCATTAACGCCCTTGCCTCAGGAAGATGTGGGAAGTGCTACATCAAGCACTTAGTGACATTGTGTATTGGAGCTTTGTTAGGAATGTCATTGTTTCATGTGCAGTGAACATGACAATAAACTCCAGTATTTCTAGGTCATAATGTGTCATCAGCAAGGGACAATCGCAAGTTTCACATAGTTTCACATTAATTGTATTATTTACATTATTAACCATATTAGACTGTGTACAAAAGCCTTGTAATGTTTGTGTGGTAGTCACCTAGCTGTTCTTGAGTTCGGAGTATGTTGAAGCAGGGTTCACTGATGATCTGAGAGAAGAGCTCTAGCTGCATGTTGAGGTTCGTGTCCTGGCGGCCACACTGGTAGTAGATCTCAATGCACGACCCGCTGTGCACCGTGTTGGTCTGCTCGTACATGTAGTAGCAGCCTGCAGCAGAACAACATGACACATGTCACACATGACATACGGCACATGACACATGACAAAGGGCACATGACACACATTACATACGACACATGACAAACCACATATGGCACATGACATACAGCACATGATATACATGACATACGGCACATGGCACATGACAAATGGCACAAAACACACGACATATGGCACATGACACATGACATATGGCACATGACATACAACACATGACACAGATGACATTAGGCACATATGGCACATGACGCAGACAACATACAACAATTGATATATGGCACATGACACACGACATATGGCACATGACATGATACATGGCACATGACATATGGCACATGACACATGACATATGGCACATCACACATGACATATGATACATGGCACATGACATACCAAACGTGACACAGATGACATACGGCAAATGTAGCACATGCCACAGAAGATACATGACATATGGCACATGACATATGGCACATGACACATGGCACATGACATATGGCACATGACACATGGCACATGACATACGGCACATGACCCCACCCCCATACCATCACACTGTTCACTGATCCCGTTCCCATACCATCACTATGTACACTGACCCCACCCCCATATATCACTCTGTACACTGATTCCACCCCATACCATCACTCTGTACACTGATTCCGACCCCATATATCACTCTGTACACCGACCCCATCCCTATACCATCACTCTGTACACTGACCCCACCCCCATACCATCACTCTGTACACCGACCCCACCCACATACCATCACTCTGTACACCGACCCCACCCCTATACCATCACTCTGTACACTGACCCCACCCCCATACCATCACTCTGTACACTGACCCCACCCCCATACCATCACTCTGTACACTGACCCCACCCCCATACCATCACACTGTACACTGACCCCACCCCTATACCATCACTCTGTACACTGACCCCACCCCCATACCATCACACTGTACACTGACCCCCACCATACCATCACTCTGTACACTGACTCCACCCACATACCATCACTCTGTACACTGACCCCACCCACATACCATCACGCTGTATACTGACCCCACCCCCATACCATCACTCTGTACACTGACTCCACCCACATACCATCACTCTGTACACTGACCCCACCCACATACCATCACTCTGTACACTCACCCCACCCCCATACCATCACGCTGTACACTCACCCCACCCCCATACCATCACTCTGTACACTCACCCCACCCCCATACCATCACTCTGTACACTCACCCCACCCCCATACCATCACTCTGTACACTCACCCCACCCCCATACCATCACTCTGTACACTCACCCCACCCCCATACCATCACTCTGTACACCGACCCCACCCCCATACCATCACTCTGTACACTGACCCCACCCCCATACCATCACTCTGTACACTGACCCCACCCCCATACCATCACTCTGTACACCGACCCCACCCCCATACCATCACTCTGTACACAGACCCCACCCCCATACCATCACTCTGTACACTCACCCCACCTCCATACCATCACTCTGTACACTGACACTACCAACATACCATCACTCTGTACACTCACCCCACCCCCATACCATCACTCTGTACACTCACCCCACCCACATACCATCACTCTGTACACTCACCCCACCCCCATACCATCACTCTGTACACTCACCCCACTCCCATACCATCACTCTGTACACTCACCCCACCCTCATACCATCACTCTGTACACTCACCCCACCCCCATACCATCACTCTGTACACTCACCCCACCTCCATACCATCACTCTGTACACTCACCCCACCCCCATACCATCACTCTGTACACTCACCCCACCCACATACCATCACTCTGTACACTCACCCCACCCCCATACCATCACTCTGTACACTCACCCCACCCCCATACCATCACTCTGTACACTGACCCCACCCCCATACCATCACTCTGTACACTGACCCCATCCCCATACCATCACTCTGTACACTGACCCCATCCCCATACCATCACTCTGTACACTGACCCCACCCCCATACCATCACTCTGTACACCGACACTACCAACATACCATCACTCTGTACACTGACCCCATCCCAATACCATCTCTCTGTACACTGACCCCATCCCCATACCATCACTCTGTACACTGACCCCACCCCCATACCATCACTCTGTACACTGACCCCATCCCAATACCATCTCTCTGTACACTGACACTACCAACATACCATCACTCTGTACACTGACCCCATCCCAATACCATCACTCTGTACACTGACACTACCAACATACCATCAGGCAACTGCAGCTCCCGTGTGCGTTTGTGCTGACTCGGCAGAAGTGGTTTGGAGCCACTCTTTTCTCGAAGTATCGTCTCCATCAGAGTACCGATCTCCAGAGCCCGCTGAAACACAGAGGGACCCCAGTTTCAACAGTAACAACATCATCATTAAAAATCATCATGTTATTTCTCAATGGAGATGCCTCTCATAAATCATCTACATTAGGCTCAACTCATGTGGAAATATCTGGTACGAACTTGAGTATTTTCATCTGTGTACAATGACAGTCAAATGTCAACTATCAAAATCATATTTTCACTGGTTAGTAAAGACTAAATCATTTCTATTATCTGCCAAATAAAAGAAACAACAAGTACCTGTTTTGTGATGTTTCCATACATGAGGCCCTCCACGTAGACCTTGGACAGCAGCTGGGGGATGAAGGCCTGGAGTCTCTCCAGCGTCACATCTGAACATCACACAAAACTCTCATCAACACAAGAGGTGGACGAAAGTCACTATCAGGACCTACATGGATGGTATTTAAACTCCACATACGTCTGCTCTGCCTCCCATTACAGTACATGGAATCTCTGTTCTCAAAGTGTTCCCAAAATAGGAACTAAAAATTGTAGAAAGACACAATGTTTGCTAAGATACACTAGTTCTCACATGATCAGTTCCCAACTGTCCTGAAGGTACCTGCAGTCAAAGACTGTTCCTGAGTGTCCTTATAATTAAAACTAAAATGGGTGAAAATCTACCAGTGTTTCATTGGCCAGCACTCCTTACCAACTGCTGTCATGTATAATCGTGTGAGTTACCATGATGCGAGCCTGGACATACTGACCATCTAAAGAGTCCAGAAGTTCGCACTTGGTCCAGACCATCTCGGACACGAGGACGGAGGTGAAGTAGATGGCGTGCTGATGAGGTTGCTCTGCCACGAAATTCTTCAGCCCTCGGTAGTACTGCAGGCAACACACACATACACATATATATATAGCTGAGGGGCATACCTCAGTGGTTGGGGGCATACCTGAGTGGGAGGGGGCATACCTGAGTGACAGGGGCATACCTGAGTGGGTGGGGCCATACCTGAGTGGGAGGGTTGGGGCACACCTGAGTGGGTGGGGGCATGCCTGAGTGGGTGGGGGCATACCTGAGTGGGTGGGGGCATGCCTGAGTGTGTGGGGGCATACCTGAGTGACAGGGGCGTATATGAGTGGGTGGGGGCATACCTGAGTGACAGGGGGCATACCTGAGTGGGTGGGGGCATGCCTGATTGGGTGGGGGCATACCTGAGTGGGTAGGGGATTCCTGAGTGGGTCGGGGCATATATGAGTGGGTGGGGGCATACCTGAGTGGGTAGGGGCATACCTGAGTGACAGGGGCATACCTGAGTGGGTGGGGGCATATATGAGTGGGTGGGGGCATAACTGTGTTGGTGGGTAGGGGCATACCTGAGTGGGTGGGGGCATACCTGAGTGGGTGGGGGCATGCCTGAGTGGGTGGTGGCATGCCTGATTGGGTGGGGGCATACCTGAGTGGGTAGGGGCATACCTGAGTGACAGGGGCATACCTGAGTGGGTTGGGGCATATATGAGTGGGTGGGGGCATACCTGAGTGTCAAGGGCATACCTGTGTGGGTGGGGGCATGCCTGAGTGGGTGGGGGCATACCTGCGTGGGTGGGGGCATGCCTGAGTGGGTGGGGGCATGCCTGAGTGGGTTGGGGCATATATGAGTGTGTGGGGGCATACCTGAGTGACAGGGGCATACCTGAGTGGGTGGGGGCATATATGAGTGTGTGGGGGCATACCTGAGTGACAGGGGCATATATGAGTGGGTGGGGGCATACCTGAGTGACAGGCGCATACCTGAGTGGGTGGGGGCATATATGAGTGTGTGGGGGCATACCTGAGTGGGTAGGGGCATACCTGAGTGGGTGGGGACATACCTGAGTGGGTGGGGACATACCTGAGTGGGTAGGGGCATACCTGAGTTGGTAAGGGCATACTTGACTGGTTTGGGGCATATATGAGTGGGTGGGGGCATATCTGATTGTTAGGCACATACCTGAGTGGGTGGGGGACATACATGAGCGGGAGGGGGCATATCTGAATGGGTGGGGGCATACCAGAGTTGACACTTGACGGGGTAGGGGGTTATGTTCATTAATATTGTTACGAGGTCAAATTAGTAGTTAGACTAAAATCAAATCATGACGCTTTCACTGTAATTTTCCCAGTCAGTGCATTCAATGCCAATTTAAGACCAATCAGAAAAATGGTTTCCAGTCACTAATGTGAAGGACATCCTGCCCAGGGAACATGGATAGTTTCATTTGTCCTTTACACACACAAGTTACCTATCGATCACACTTTCGTATCACAAATGCATTTCCCTACTAACACTTAAATTCCTCATTAAAGATGTCACTGTCTGCCACCAAAGACTCACCAACTCTTTGATGATCTCGTAACGTTTGGGGTCCACTTGGTAGGTGGTGAAGCGCTCTATGATCTTCTGCAGCAGCACGTGCAGCTTGTCGTTGTAACCCTTGACAGACAGCTGAAGGCAGAACACCATGTCACACACAGGCGCACACTTACCCATAACAGGGCACAATCAGTAGCTAATAACACCCACAATGGCGGGAATACAATACTATTACCTCATGATATCATACACCTCAAGATTTATCATACATTACAAAGTCACTGTACGCAAGTTAACCAAAATTATTGACACTCTCAAGTCATATGGAAATCTAAAATGAAAATCAGCGCTATCTGGCGCCTGGTGTTATCTTATACAAAATCTTGTCTCATTTACAAATAAATTAGTTTATAGCTGGAGACTTGATCCTTGTTTATTATTTCTATGTCCTGAAGGCAAAACTTTATCAAAATTGCTTCATGTTGTGTAGTCCACGTTCTACCTAAGCTTTTCCTTCCACACTATCTCCCAACCTGCCATTTTCTCTGGTGTTGTCCAGGTTGTACCCCAGCCTTGCCCCCCACCACCTCCCACCTCACACTGACCATCATTCCATACACGGTGTTGTCCAGGTTGTACCCCAGCCTTGCCCCCCACCACCCCCCACCTCACACTGACCATCATTCCATACATGGTGTTGTCCAGGTTGTACCCCAGCCTTCTCCCCCCCACCACCCCCCACCTCACACTGACCATCATTCCATACATGGTGTTGTCCAGGTTGTACCCCAGCCTTCTCCCCCCCACCACCTCCCACCTCACACTGACCATCATTCCATACACGGTGTTGTCCAGGTTGTACCCCAGCCTTGCCCCCCACCCACCCACCCCACACGGACCGTCATTCCATACACGGTGTTGTCCAGGTTGTACCCCAGCCTTGCCCCCCACCACCTCCCACCTCACACGGACCGTCATTCCATACACGGTGTTGTCCAGGTTGTACCCCAGCCTTGCCCCCCACCCACCCACCCCACACGGACCGTCATTCCATACACGGTGTTGTCCAGGTTGTACCCCAGCCTTGCCCCCCACCACCTCCCACCTCACACGGACCGTCATTCCATACACGGTGTTGTCCAGGTTGTACCCCAGCCTTGCCCCCCACCCACCCACCCCACACGGACCGTCATTCCATACACGGTGTTGTCCAGGTTGTACCCCAGCCTTGCCCCCCACCACCTCCCACCTCACACGGACCGTCATTCCATACATGGTGTTGTCCAGGTTGTACCCCAGCCTTGCCCCCCACCCACCCACCCCACACGGACCGTCATTCCATACACGGTGTTGTCCAGGTTGTACCCCAGCCTTGCCCCCCACCACCTCCCACCTCACACGGACCGTCATTCCATACACGGTGTTGTCCAGGTTGTACCCCAGCCTTGCCCCCCACCCACCCACCCCACACGGACCGTCATTCCCTACATGATGTTGTCCAGGTTGTACCCCAGCCTTGCCCCCCCCCCACCTCCCACCTCACACTGACCATCATTCCATACATGATGTTGTCCAGGTTGTACCCCAGCCTTACCCCCCACCACCTCACACTGACCGTCATTCCTTACACGGTGTTGTCCAGGTTGTACCCCAGCCTTGCCCCCCCCCACCTCACACTGACCGTCATTCCATACACGGTGTTGTCAAGGTTGTACCCCAGCCTTGCCCCCCACCACCTCCCACCTCCCACCTCACACTGACCGTCATTCCATACATGGTGTTGTCCAGGTTGTACCCCAGTCCGGCCAACTCTGCATCATAGGCATACTCGTTGAGAGCATCCTTAAACAGCAGCATCAGCAGGCTGTTCATGTTGGCGTGGAGCGGATCGATGTAGGCATAGGAGCTGCAACAGTGGAAGCAAGGACTTCAACAAACATTCCCAGGGACTAACCTACACCTGCTCAGAGGCCGACATTCGGTCCCAAGTCAGTCAGTAAACATTCCCAAATTGAAACTAAAAGTTCCTACTTCATGTTTGTTTGTTAGTTTGTTGTTTAACGCTGCACTCAGCAATATTCCAGCTATATGATGGAGGTCTGTAAATAATCAAATCCGGACCAAACAATCCAGTCATTGATATCATGAGCATCGATCCACACAATTGGGATCGATGACATGCATCAACCAAGTCAGCGAGCCTGACCATCCGATCCCATTAGTTGCCTCTTATGACAAGCATAGTTGCCTCTTACAACAAGCGTAGTCGCCTTTTACGGCAAGCATGGGTTGCTAAAGACCTATTCTGAGCAGTATCTTCATGGGTGTCTTTTTCATGTAAATATAGTTACAACTAATGTGATGGCTTAAGCATCAAGCAGGTCGGTATGTAGAATTCCGAGATCGTATTATTAATGAAAATATTATGAGTATGAATGAGTAACTGTCGTGCTAGAAAACATTTTACCGCATACTCTAGAAAACTTAACATTCAATATGTTACTGTAGCTGTAACAGTTTTGTTGATTTGTTGTTTAACTCCATGCACAGCAATATTTCAGCTATATGACAGAGGTTTGTAAATAATCAAGCCTGGACCAGATAATCCAGTGATTGACATCATTAGCATCGATCTACGTAATTTAGACATGATAACATGCAATCAACCAAGTCAGAGAGCCTGGCCATACCATCCCATTAGTCACCTCTTACAACAAACATGGGTTCCTGAAGCCAAATACTAACCCAGATGTTCACGGGGGAAGACAAAAATGGGCTGCTGAAGACAAGTTCTAACTCTATTCTTCACGGGGGATCACTATCAGTAACAACATCATCCAGGTGAGTCACCAATCCAGGATGCCAGTAAATCTTCACTCACCTTTTGATTTCAAATGTCATGCAGGCTTTAGGTAGTAGGAATTCATCATCTTGCTTGAACCAGAATCGGCACATAGCATCATCCTGGAGGCAATGATTTACATCATTCATTTGCATTTATTTCTGACTCCGCAAGGAACATAGCAATCACAAAACTCTTCACTTCCATGTATTCGTCATACATTTGCACCCTGTAATCTACTTCAAGACCAAACAGCATATAACTTATGAAACCCATCCTTAGCATAAAATTTAACATGACACCCCATATAAAAGGTGAATTTTTTAAGCCTGTTTAATACAGCAATTATGGAAAGTTATTTGATAAATGTCTTCTAATATCTGTATTTTTAAACTTTTTTATGACAATTGTAGCAATGCCATAATTTAGATTCTAACACTTGCAGGTCTACATTCATATACATAATACTACATCCTTAATATAGTCAAATGATGAGGGGAATTACACAGCATATGCAGATACTGAGAGGACCAAGGGCATGAAGGAAGAGTGTGGAGGAAGAAGTGAGTGAGTGAGTGAGTGAGTGAGTGAGTGAGTGAGTGAGTGAGTGAGCGTGTGAGTGAGTGAGCGTGAGCGTGTGAGTGAGTGAGCGTGTGAGTGAGTGAGTGAGTGAGTGAGTGAGTGAGTGAGTGAGTGAGTGAGTGAGTGAGTGAGTGAGTGAGTGAGTATGGTTTTAAGCCATTGAAACAATTTTCCAGCACTATCATGGTGCTGGGGACTCCAGAAATGTGCTTCAAACATTGAAGAAGGGTGTAAATAAAAATACATACCCTAATTATATCCGGAGCTGAAGAGGACTGAAAGAAAAAGTGTATTTCCATCATTGATAATCACTGAATGTCTATACTGGATACAAGAGCAGCTCATACAGCTTTATCAAGTTTATACAACTTTCTTCCTCAAATATTATGAACACTGAACACTTTGGTTCATAAGACATTTAAATATTAGTTTTGAAAATTTGTTGCGCTTCAGTTCAGTATTGCTCACTTGGTTACATTTAGAGACATACCTCTGGTTCACGTGTGACAATGTCAAAATTTGTTGGAATGAACTCATTTCTCTGAGGCAGACGGAGATTATCATGCAATCCACAATCACTCCATTTCTGAAAAAAAATAATTCAGTTAGTCAAAATGATCTATAGATAAACACCTTGTGCATATTTCATACATAACAGACAAAAGAAGTGAATATCTGACAATAAGCATAAAGGGAAACACTATATAAGGGATAACAGGGAGTGAATAATGTTCAACAGTTGAACTCGTAACACTATTTCAGGCAAATCAACTCTGTTGGTATATGTGACTCGATGTTGGCTTACTCATCATCTCTGGGTGTATACCTGACTGGCCGGCTAACCCTAATCATCTCTGGAAGTATACTTGAATCAATGTTGTCTTACGCTAATCAACTTTGGAGGCATATGTGACTTCACATTGACTTTACTCATCATCTTTGGAGGTATACGTGGCACACAATGTCTTATCCAAAATATCCCTGCAGGTATATGTGAGTCAATCTTGTCTTACCCTAATCATATCTGGAAGTATAAGTGACTGGATGTTGTCTTACCCTAATCATCTCTGGAGGTATACTTGACTCCATGTAGTCTGTTCCGTACCACTTCTCCTTCTTGTCCGTCGTCCCTTTGAATTTCTGAGCAATGATGATGCATCTGTCAAGAAGGAGACTTCACATCTGACAATTGTCTGGAGCAACTTTACGCACTTCTACCTGATGGTGCTCATGTCTGCAGACTGGTTACTCATGTGATTAACAAACCAGAGAACAAAGGTACAGAAGCTCACCTTCCAGTGATATAACGTTAAGGGCTGAGGATGTGCCAAACTAGTCATGTAACAACATGATAGTGAGTGAGGGAGTGAGTTTGGTTTAACACCGCTTTTAACACTATTCCAGTTATATCACGGCGTGTCAGCTTAATGTGGGAGGAAAGCCCGAAGTGATGCAGGTCTTAGACGTTTACCACTTCGGTGAAACCTGCGAGCACGGGTATGGTGCTGACAAACCTAGAAACATAATCGGGGCGAACCGTGATTCGAACCCACAATCGTAGGTTTCTGGCATGCCCAAGGGACGCAACTCTGCATAGCGAATCGCTGCGCCTTAGACGACTGGGCCACCCGTGCCCCTTAACAACATGATAAAAAACATAACACCATATTAATGGATGAAAAGTTGTTGTTTCTAATCTGTTAAGTTATCAGAACATTTTGTGATACCTGTTATGAATTACGTAATGTTTTGCTGACAAAGGTGTAATGATTACCAAGTCATATTTCCCTGATATTTGTGATTCCAGTCAAATGTTTGTTTGTTTGTTTGTTGTTTAACGCCGCAGCTATTCCAGCTATATGACGGCAGTCTGAAAAATAATCAAATCTGGACCAGATAATCCAGTGATTGATATCATGAGCATGGATCCATGCAATTGGGATATGATGACATGCATCAACCAAGTCAGCGAGCCTGACCACCCGATCGCTTTAGTCACCAATTATGACAAGCATTGTCACCTTTTATGGCAAGCATGGGTTGCTGAAGACCTATTCTACCCAGGATCTGCACTGGTCTCCAAACAAATGAATGGAAACAGACACTCTCAACTATTTCTTTTCTTACCGACAGTGATGCCAGATACTGATAGTGATGTTGCATGCTGATTGAAATTAGAGTTACTCATTTTAAATGTGAGTGGGGGCGGTGGGGTAGCCTAGTGGTTAAAGCTTTCGCTCATCAAGCCAAAGACCCGGATTCAAGATTGCCCTAATAGGTACAATGTGTGAAGCACATTTTCTTAGACTCTGGAATATTGCTAAAAGCAGCATAAAATCATATTCACTCACTCACTTACTCACTAAATGTGAATGCCACATCAGCCTTTCACATAATCAGATTCACCGTAGAAGTTGTTCATGTTTAGATCAGGTATAAAAGGTAAATAAAGTATACAACATTCAAATGATGAATTGTAACCCAAGTCTGAGGATTGACGAGTGAACGCTTTAACCAACAGGCTACCCCATCGCCCTTCTTGCTTGGGACAAGGGGCGGTCCAGTAGCCTAGTGGTTAAAGCGTTTGCTCATCGGGCTGAAGACCCAGGTTTGATCCCCTACAAAGTCACAATGTGTGAAGTCCATTTCTGCTGTCCCCCCACCGCGATATTGCTGGAATATTGCTAAAAGTAGCATAAAACCAAAACTCGCTCACTCACTCTTGTTTGGGACATGCAGAACAGGTTAAGTGAAAATGTACAACAGATCTGGAGGACAAGAGATCTACTGACCAGGATCTTTAACAAAATAAAACCTAAAAGAAAATGTACTACATAAAATTAGTTCAGGGGCATGCTTTAGAAATCACAGACATACCTGTCATTATAACAGGGTGTTATTGCTACAAATATCTCCAGCTGAGATGAGGTGAGGTGAAATAGGGTTTAACGTCGCGTCCAAGATTACTGCACTTATATAGCGACGTGCATGTACGTGTGTGTTTGTGTGGTTGCTTGTACTAGTCCAGACTGATGCCGATTTATAGTGCTAGTGCTATAGTGCTCACTGAAATACCATGCCACAGTTTAACATGAATATCCCACTCAGACACAGTATACTGACTCCGAGCCGACCAGTCCTTGTTTTAGCCCCTTAATGCCGAGCGCCAGACAGGGTAACAACAAGTACCATCTTTTAACGTCTTTTGGTATGACGTGGCCGGGGATCGAACCCTGGACCTTCCGCTCTCTGGGTGGACGCTCCACCACTAGACCACGGAGGCGGTCTATCTCCAGCTGAATAAGAACCTTTGCAGTCAGACTTCTGTTGGTGGACCTACCTGAGAGTTGGCACAACCACTTACAGAAGTATTGTTTCCCAGGACTTACTTCATGTTTTCTGGAACTAGTTTGTCTATGACCATCTGGACGAGGTCCGGCTTGTACTCGGTGACTGTGTAGCTCCCACTCAGGACTTCCGGCATCACATAGTCCTACAGAGACAGACAAAGGCACTTTCATCTCACACTAAACCAGACATAGTCAAACAAAATAGCATTTCACCCCAAGCCAAACCACAGGCAAACAATGTATTTACCTCATGCCTCAGCAACAAACAATGCAACCCTTCACCTTAGCCAAATGACACAGTGAGTGAGTTTGGGTGTACACCGCTTTAAGCAATATTCCAGCAATATCGTGGCGGGGGACACCAGAAATAGGCTTCACCAATTGCACCCATGTGGGGAATGGAACCCAGGCCTTCAGCATGAGGAACGAATGCTATAACCACTAGACCACCCCACAGCCCCCCCAACTACACAAGAGACACACAAAGGAACATTAACTTTTGGTCTTAACCACCCAGAGACAAAGGGGCTTTCACCTTACACCTAAACTAGACAGAGACAAACAAGACAGCATTTCACCTCAAGCCAAACTACAGGCGACCTGTGAAGATCCGGGGTAGTATAGGTCTTCAGCAACCCATGCTTGCCGTAAAAGGTGACTATGCTTGTCGTAAAAGGCGACTAACGGGATTGGTTGGTCAGGCTCGCTGACTTGGTTGATGCATGTCATCAATCCCAATTGTGTGGATCGATGCTCATGATATCAATCACTCGATTATCTGGTCCAGACTCAATTATTTACAGACGTCATCATATAGGTGGAATATTGCTGAGTTCTGCGTTAAACAACAAACCAACCAACCAAACTACAGGCAAACAATGAAGCCATTTACCTTCGTTCTCAACTACACTGAGACACTTTCACTTTATGCCTGAACAAGACACAATCCGCGAAGCCATTAACCTTATGTCTCAGCTATACAGAGACGAACAAACAGCACAGCATTTCACATCAACGAGGAATATGAGCAGAAACTCATCAACAGGGATTAAAGTTAACCTCATGATAACCTCCCATGTACAAATTGATAAAGAATAAATTGAATGCATGTTTTCTGTAGTCATGTTATAATCACATATGTCTGATAGCATTAATCATGTTAACATGAAGTCTTGTCACCTGCTTCCAAGAACTAACTCTCTGTATGGGTTCAATTACATCACACACCAACATGCACCCAGACTTACATGAATCATCCCGGACAGAGAGCTGACGTATCCCCGTGGACGCTCCTTGTCCTTGAAGCGGAAAGCCATGGCACTCAAGTCCTGGAATCAACAGTTCAACATAATTATTTGGATAAAATCAGAAGTAAAACTATAGGTAAACTACAGGTAAAACTGTAGGTAAACTTCAGATACAAGTTTGGGTAAACCTACAGGCAAAAGTATAGGAAAAGCTACAGGTAAAATGATAGGAACACTACAGATAAATGTATAAGTAAAAGTATAGGTAAAACTACAAGTAAAAGTAATGGTAAGCTACGGGTAAAAGTAATGCTAATCTATAGATACAAGTAAAGATAAAACTACACGCAAAAGTATAGGTAAAACTGCAGGTAAAATTAATTGTAAACTACAGCTAACAGTAATGGCAAACTACAGGTAAAGGAAAAGGTAAAACTACAGATGAAACTACAGGTAAAAACAACAAATAGCCTACAGGTGGAAATACATATACAACTACAGTTACAATTAGAGGTAAACTACAGGTGATAATACCCACAAATAGCAGGTACAACTACAGGAGAAACATCAGGTGAGTTTTGTACCTGACACTCCTTGAAGATCCACTCCTTGACTCCTTCTGCCTTCAGCATGTTAATGTACTGGTAGATCAGGGTGATGATGTCCTCTGTATGGTCTGGTCACATAAACAAGTCAAAGCATTTTATATCAGTCAAAATTGAATGTCAAATTGGACTCAAAGCTTAAATACAATGGACTACAACAAAGAAATAATCAAACACTACACACTGGCTACACCAACAGATGGCCATGTGATTGTCTGAGACAATTTTCAACAAGACTCATCAGAATAAACAAAGCACAATCAATAGACACCATTGATAATTCAGCATCATAGGCCTTGCAAGGGGTGTGGTTAGACTTGACTTTATACATTTGGTTTACAAACCGATCGATTTCAAAAATTTGAAATTTGAAGAAAAATGAAAAACAGTATTTTTTTCAATTCCACTGATCAGAAATAAGTAAAGCGTTTGTTATTAAAAAGCTCATTTGTTGTCTCTATCAATATAAATATATTATTTCAAATACTATCATTTTTTCATCCTACCTTCTAGGCCCCCGTTCCACAAATTGATCTTAGTGCTAAGACGATCATAATTGCAATACTTTAACACTGACTTAAGGCAGTCGTAGCGCTAAGATCACTTTGTGGAACAGGCCCCTGAACTTTCGAGCCCCTAATCTGTAAATACCTCACCTCACCAACCCCTTCAAACAAAAGTCAGGCCTCGTGTGATTTGCCTTAATGTCACATACCCATGCCCTCTTCTGTGAGATCTACGTTGACGATGAAGAAGCCGAAGCCCTTGGCTCCCGGCGAGCCCCCGCCGACCAGCGTGTTCACCCAGCCTACAGACAACAGCAGACATGAGCAGGCCAGCACACATTACTTCTAACATCATACCACACACCACATACATGTTATACTTCTTAGTACCACGAACACTAGAATACAGAAGACATCTAAGCAGTTCTCTTTCAAATGTTCAGTTTCTGAATTGGATATCTAAAATATAACCCTGGATGAAATATTACTCCACGTGAGAATGAATCTGTTGCCATGGTAAGTGTAGTGTGAGTGAATTTCCATCTGAAGTCAGCAATTTGGTACAACTACAGGACCAGTGATTAATCGTGGGAGACTGGATTCAACAAGTGTCTTACCCCTTGCCTTGAGCTCGGACAGGAGACTCCCTGGCCCCTCATGGCCAATCAGATGCCCGAGATAGTGTTCAGGCTGGAAGATACACACTACATGTTTAACTGACAATATACACCTGCTACAGATGGTGGTCACTATGCATCATTGGTTGGAGCAGTTTCCATGTGTAGCCACATACATGTTCAACAGAGTGAGTAAGTGAGTTGGGTTTATCCCCGCTTTTAACAGTATTCCAGTTATATCGCGGCGTTTCAGCTTAATGTGGGAGGAAAGCCCAAAGTGATGCAGGTCTCAGACGTTTACCACTTCAGAGAAACCCACGAGCACGGGTATGGTGCTGACAAACCTAGAAACATAATCGGGGTGAACCGGGATTCGACCCATAATCATAGGTTTCTGGCGTATCCAGGGGACGCAACTCTACACAGCGAATCGCGGCGCCTTAGATGACTGGGCCATCTGTGCCCCTACATGTTCAACTGAAGCCTGTACATATGATATTCACCATGTGTCTTGGATTTAGAGCAGTTCCATGTGTAGCCACATACATGTTCAACAAAAGCCTGCTACAGACGTTAATCACCACCTACAAGGGCTTGGAGCAGTTCCATGTGTAGCAACATAAACGTTACAAAAAAGCCTGCTACAGACGTTAATCACCACCTACAAGGGCTCGGAGCAGTTCCATGTGTAGCGACATAAACGTTCAACAGAAGCCTTCTATATACGATAATCACCACATACAAGGGCTTGGAGTAGTTCCATGTGTAGTGACATAAACGTTCAACAGAAGCCTTCTATATACGATAATCACCACATACAAGGGCTTGGAGTAGTTCCATGTGTAGCGACATAAACTTTCAACAGAAGCCTGCTATATACAATAATCACCACCTACAAGGGCTTGGAGCAGTTCCATGTGTAGCGACATAAATGTTCAACAGAAGCCTGCTACAGACGTTAATCACCACATACAAGGGCTTGGAGCAGTTCCATGTGTAGCGACATAAACGTTCAACAAAAGCCTGCTATATACGATAATCACCACATACAAGGGCTTGGAGTAGTTCCATGTGTAGCGACATAAACTTTCAACAGAAGCCTGCTATATAAGATAATCATCACCTACAAGGGCTTGGAGCAGTTCCATGTGTAGCGACATAAATGTTCAACAGAAGTCTGCTACAGATGTTAATCACCACATACAAGGGCTTGGAGCAGTTCCATGTGTAGCGACATAAACGTTCAACAAAAGCCTGCTATATACGATAATCACCACATACAAGGGCTTGGAGTAGTTCCATGTGTAGCGACATAAACGTTTAACAGAAGCCTGCTACAGATGATAATCATCACCTACAAGGGCTTGGAGCAGTTCCATGTGTAGCAACATAAACGTTTAACAGAAGCCTGCTACAGATGTTAATCACCACATACAAGGGCTCGGAGCAGTTCCATGTGTAGCGACATAAACGTTTAACAGAAGCCTGCTACAGATGATAATCATCACCTACAAGGGCTTGGAGCAGTTCAATGTGTAGCGACATAAACGTTCAACAGAAGCCTGCTACAGATGATAATCACCACATACAAGGGCTTGGATCAGTTCCATGTGTAGCGACATAAACGTTCAACAGAAGCCTGCTACAGATGATAATCACCACATACAAGGGCTTGGATCAGTTCCATGTGTAGCGACATAAACGTTCAACAGAAGCCTGCTACAGATGATAATCACCACGTACCAGGGCTTGGAACAGTCCCATGTGTAGGGAGATACATGTTCAACGTTCAACTGTCGGGCGGGCTTCAGTGTACCCAGATTCTATCCGCATACATGTTCCTGAGATGTACAACACAAAGCCTTGAATAAGGCTTAGTTGTGTTACACACTGTGTTTTACCGCTGTAATTACCTCAGGAGAATTGGAAGAAGGTAGGTTTTGCCAACATATATCAATACATGACTAGAGTATAAACGAGGAAAACATGTACATGATGACAGGCATTGAAAGCCAACAAATTTCACCTTCCACAAACAAAGAAGTCTGCCTACCTGTGATGTGTATACTGCCTACCTTTGATGTGTATACTGCCTACCTGTGATGTGTATACTGCCTACCTTTGATGTGTATACTGCCTTCCTGTGATGTGTATACTGCCTACCTTTGATGTGTATACTGCCTTCCTGTGATGTGTATACTGCCTACCTGTGATGTGTATACTGCCTTCCTGTGATGTGTATACTGCCTACCTGTGATGTGTATACTGCCTACCTGTGATGTGTATACTGCCTACCTGTGATGTGTATACTGCCTACCTTTGATGTGTATACTGCCTACCTGTGATGTGTATACTGCCTACCTTTGATGTGTATACTGCCTTCCTGTGATGTGTATACTGCCTACCTTTGATGTGTATACTGCCTTCCTGTGATGTGTATACTGCCTACCTGTGATGTGTATACTGCCTACCTTTGATGTGTATACTGCCTACCTTTGATGTGTATACTGCATACCTTTGATGTGTATACTGCCTTCCTGTGATGTGTATACTGCCTACCTTTGATGTGTATACTGCCTTCCTGTGATGTGTATACTGCCTACCTTTGATGTGTATACTGCCTACCTGTGATGTGTATACTGCCTACCTTTGATGTGTAGTATGGGTGGAGATCAGGCAGCGACCATGACACGTTCATCTGGCGGAGATCCTTCACAGGGACAACACATACATTCCTCTGGAAAGATGATGAAACATTGGACATTATCAACTTGGTCACATCTGCTGTAGTGAGTGAGTGAATGAGTAGAGTTTTATGCTGATTTTAGCAATATTTAAGCAATATCATGGCGGGACACCAGAAATGGGCTTCACATGTTGTACCCATATGAGGAATCAAACCAAGGTCTTTGGCATGATGAGTAAACACTGTACCACTGGACTACTCTACTGCCCAAACATCTGCTATAAGTGAGTGAGTGAGTGAGTGAGTATGGTTTTACGCCGCTTTTAGCAATATTCCAGCAATGTCACGGCAGGGGACACCAGAAATGGGCTTCACACATTGTACCCATGTCGGGAATCAAACCTGGGTCTTCGGCGTGACGAGCGAACACTTTAACCACTAGGCTACACGACTGTCCCTCTGCTATAAGTATATATCAACACTGAGTCACATAATATGTGAACTGGGGTTGAAGTAACAATCAACAGATAGGTTGGGTTGGAGGGGATAGGGGTGGCAGGGTGATGTTGGAGATGTGGGCTTAGAAGGATGGGATTAGATAAGTGGGGTCGGAGGGGTGGGGTTAGAGAGGATGGGGTTGGAGGGGTGAGGTTTGAGGGATAGGGTTGGACGGGTCAGGTCAGACGGATGGGGTTAGAGGGGTGGGCTTAGAGGGCTGGGGTTGGACGGTGGGGTTACAGGGATGGGGTTAGAGGGGAGGTTAGAGGGGGGGGTTAGAGGGATTGGGTTAGAGGGTGGGGTTAGAGGGGTGGGTTAAGAGAGAGGTTGGGTTAGAGGGGTGGAGTTAGAGAGAGGTGGGGTAAGAGGCTGGGGTTGGGGGGTTGGATTAGAGGGGATGGCTTAGAGGGTGAGGTTAGAGGGGTGGGGGTGGAAATGGTTAGAGGCCTTGGGGCAAGGGTGCTGGTGGTTAGATATCTGGGGTTGATGGCCCTGGATTGGAGGGATGAGTGTGAGAGAGGTGGGGTGAAGCTGTAAAAGATGATCAGCACGATCATTCACAGGAAACTGTTCACAAGGTTACACTGACCTGCAGCTGGTCAGGGCCAAAAGGGTGGATGTTCCACTCCGGGACGGACACAGACTTGTTCTCCACACCAGCAAACAACGGCACCACCATCTCCATCAACTCATCCAGAGACTCTGGGAACGACAAAACCTCACACATCATCACCCCGCAATGATCATTGTCCCATTTCTTAGATTAATTCTTATCAGGAAACAAGAATCTTTTGTTACATTTGGACATTGGATGCATGTGAATCCTGTGTGTTACCTGACAATGGTGATATTTACAGCATCACCACCTTTCCAGTCACTCACCCTTCCCCAGCACACAGAGACCCATGACGTTAGCCGAGTAGTATTTAGAGTGGAATTTCAAGAGTTCGTCTCTTGTATTCTGTCCTCGTTCCCGCGGTAACGTGTCCAGAGTCTGCTTGTTGCCTGCAAGACCAAACACAAACACAGTGAGCCCTCATCAGTCCTGATAGGTTAGCGGTAAGTAACACTGAAATACCATTGACAGGTAGAGCTATCCGAGGCTATCCTAACTAAATCACTATGACCTAATTTATGTTGAGTTGCTTTGTACACATATGTATGAAATGATAAGACAACTCAATAGTTAAACAGCACTGTGCGTAATTACCCAATTGAGTTGTTTGGGTTTGTGTACACGTATGTCTTTACAGATCTCTTCTTTATACTGAATGTCGGTATCACATACACAGGAACTGTACTGTGCATATCGCACTTATTGTAACATGTCTCATTATTTAAGAAATAAAAGCTTGTGGTCGTTGTTTATCATACAATAAAACACTGCAGGGAGAATAAATCACTCGGGGTCGTTGTTTATCATACAATAAAACACTGAAGGGAGAATAAATCACTCGTGGTCAGTGTTTATCATACAATAAAACACTGCAGGGAGAATAAATCATGAGGGGCGCAGATGACTCCCTAAATAGAATCCGACCACAAAAATGTCAGACAAGTCCATTTTACAATTTCATGGGTTAAGTTAAGTTATTTCCCAAATATTCTCATAATCTTCATGTCAATTATCTGTACCTTTTCTCCTAATACCGATTGTCATATCTTTTGAATGTGATTGTTCGGCCACTGCGTTTACGTGCGTAGCCAAGCTACATCTATGGGGAACAACTAACTAGACACTTCCCTCACAAAAATAACGTTTTTCAATATATGACGTCATCAAGCTGCAAGCGCACATTTGACTCTCCAGAAATGACGTCATGATAGAAAAATGATGTTTTATCGTGAAATAAACCACACTTTGCTCTTACTTGTTTTTTGTGATTTCTCGCATAGCTAGCTGTTACACAAGGTTATGAGACATGACTCACTTTGGGCAGCACACAAACATATGCTAATTAGAAGTTATCTGAACAGCATAGAAGTAGAATTGTGTTCTAAAAAGTCATTGGTTTACAAAACTCACTAGACTGCACCCAAGAGAGTACAAATATACTGGAGACCCAAAGAAAACTATCAACACCCAATGTGAATGATGTGAGGAAATACTCCATGGCACAACATATTATCTGGAGCCCCATACTGTCCCTTCTATGCCTCAGATTCCACCTCTCGTATCGCTTGCATTTGCTTCAAACAAAACGGTGGCACCCGATCTGATCGATAATCAAGATCTATATTGTGATAAAACGAGTCTTACATCGCGGAGTGCATCAAATCACGTGAGCACCTTGATTAAAAACATGAAAATATTTAGAAAATATCTGTTGACAACGAGCTAGCGGTGCACATGCTTTGCGAATCCTGCAGACACTTTACGAACCGGATTTCGATTTCGGTGCGCGATTTTGATTGGACTATGCATAGACTCGTTAGTCTAGCCAAAATGTAACCCCATAATACCAGCCTAGTTCAGCAAGGGTGGAAACTGGACTTTTATGGTCAGTTAACTCACTTGCCTCGGGAAGTTGCATACTAATGGTCATGGAAACTGACCTGATCCAAATTTACTGAAGTCATGTGACGGGTCAGCAAGGGACTTCTCTAGCTGCATGAGTCTCCATTGGTCACTCTGGAGATTCTTGTCATTCTCGGAGTTGACTGCATTGACCTCTCTGTCAGTCGCCGAGGATGTGAACAGTGGACACAAGAAAAACTGGGCAAACCTGCAGTAAAATCAGCACCTCTTGTAGTAAAAGCAAGTCGTGTTGACGGATCAGTCACTTAAAGTTTGACGGGAGAGAGGTGGGGATGGGGTTTAGGGGTAGTGGACTGTAATTCTTCAACTTTCCAGACAGGAGCCCCAAAAAAGATCTACTCACAACACACTTTCTCAGGACATGAAGCATCTCCAGCAAACATGTACTGAGGCAAATTGCCTGCTATCTGAGATCAGTGCCTTGTGTTACATAGGCAGATCCAAAGATCCAGAGAGTCTGGACACATGTAAAATGTTGTAGGCAGTAAAATTATCTGAGAGAGGATTTTGATATTTTGGACCCCTCTCTTTTACAAATGCTGGATCCACCTGAGTGTTACTCACCTGTCTAGAGCTCCTGCCAGATTCCCTGGTGTGATGTCAAAGAAGTAGTTGGTGTTCTCAGTGGAGGTGTAGGCGTTGCTGCTGCCGCCGTGCTCATTGAGGAACTAAAACCAACATCTGTGTGGTCAGTAGAGCTGAGTATTGCCTAGTATCTTGCGATACAATTTGTGTCAAAAACACACTGAGGTCACTACCGGTATCACGATACACCACATCAAATGGTAAGAAATGGTGAAATCACTGAAATACAGCTTTAAAACCTCTTTCTTCATATATTTATGTATTGACATCTTAAAAACTTAAACAAAGAAAACCACAAGAACAATACAGGTTTGAATGAAGGGATGTTTATTAAATGTCACAGTTAGTTGGCACGTCATCAGCTATCAAGTCCTTGTGCTACTTCTGCTATTATGGGAGGTAACTCTATTAGTTCTTTTTCTGTTTATAGCACATTGCAATCTCACAAACTAATGATTCAAGTATCGTGTATACCTAAGTATTGATGATATCATAGGTGTCAGTGAATCATTACATCCCTAGTGGTGAGGACATTGTACACGCTGATAATTGTACAAATCCAACTCTATATTCTCAACAAAATCAACCCACAACATAACCTAATACTTCATTAATGATTAATACATGGTTTAGGTCGGTTGGGTAGCCTAGTGGTTAAGACCCAGGTTCAATTCCCGACATGGGTACAATGTGTGAAGCCCATTTCTGGTGTCCCCCGCCGCAATATTGCAGGAATATTGCTTAAAGTGGCGTAAAACCATACTCACTCACTCACTAATACCTAGTTTTATGCCATTTTTAGCAACATTCCAGCAACATTCCAGTTATCCTCAAGCCGTATCAAGGCGGGGTAAACCGAGAATGGGCTTCACACATTGTTCCTTAGTTTGGATTTGAACCGAGGTCTTCAGGTACCGATTCCATGCCAGGGATGCACAGTGTCTGACATAACTGATGATGTGACTCTCTGAATCAATATTCAGCCAGCAGTTTATTAACATGATTAATGTTTGTTTGGTTGTTTGTTGTTTAACGCCGCACTCAGCAATATTTCAGCTATATGACGGTGGTCTGTAAAATAATCGAGTCTGGACCAGACAATCCAGTGATTGCCATCATGAGCATCGATCCACGCAATTGGGATCTATGACATGTATCAACCAAGTCAGCGAGCCTGACCACCCAATCCCGTTAGTCGCCTTTTACGACAAGCATAAACGCTTTTTACGGCAAGTATGGGTTGCTGAAACCTATTCTACCCCGGAATCTTCTCAGGTCAACGTGATTAATGAGATATATTAATGACTTACCTTACTGTATTCATTTTCATCTGGATACTGAAATAATACAAAGTGAAAACAAATTCTTTGGTTGTTATTAAAGACATTTCATCATGGACCAAGACTACAAAAGTCATGTCATAAAGAGCCAGACAAAGTCCACCCAGTCCTGTACACAACTGATATGTCGTCTAAATTCTAAAATGACTTCATCAAGCTTGCTGATATGTCGTCTAAATTCTAAAATGTCTTCATCAAGCTTGAAGTGATTGCAGAGACCATATAATAGAAAGCATGTTGAAAATATGATTTGACAGCATTGGTCTAATTGATCATTTCTGACCACAAAACATGAACAACATATTTGCTGATTATTACTTGTGCCATACAGACCATAGGTTGACAATAATTCCATTCCAAAAAATATTACGCAAACAACATACATTTTTATTTTATTTTTCGGTTGAAACACTAGCAGCATGTTTACATGCTATTGCAATGGCCATGACCTTTCTTATCAGGGGCAGTTAATGAATGTAGAGAGTGAGAGTGGTTTCCCTTTGACTACGAGTACAGTGTATGATACATATGTAGCGTGTAATGGAGTGAGCACTTTGTCTATGATGTATAGCTGGATGGCATGCTGTGTACAAATCATTTAGTCCATGAATGAATACTGTAAATCATGAAATAAATGCGTCTCCAAAAGAAAGCGACCGCGTCCCCAGCCAAAAATATGACTCAATATGAATGCGACACGCATCAGTGGATTTATAGCTAAAGAAATTGTCCTGTCAGGTTTACAGGAGAATTCTCACCTTAATCCAACCTTACATTAATCCAATCAAACACCAAATAGCACTGCTTATTAGCATTGAGTAGAGTACTTCTGCTAAAACAATACATGCACGCTAGCTCGTGTCGGCCTTTGATGCAGTCGCAAAGAACAAAGACACCATGTTGTGTGGGTAGAACTCTGGTCTTGACCCCAGTAGTGACAATTCACGGGATGTAATTAGTGTTTGAATGACATTGTTTATATACTTGTGACAAGTGCTGCACAATAAACAGTGAGGTGCAATACATAGTTGTTTGTTTTCAGCGTATGTCTAAGTTGATATTTCTGCTTTCCAAAATGTCTTATTGTTGATATGAATGCGATGTTTAATAATGCGAGCAAAGACCACTCGCATTTTTCCCATTTAAATCATGCTCACGTTAATTTCAAGATTTACAGTGTTCCATTACAAACAATATGAAAGAAAACGATACAAGTTTATTCTTCAGTGTTGTGTAAAAAATACTTATGACATATTATAAGGTCTGTTGACAATCTATGTTGGTTGATTTACATAACATTGCTTCCCAAATTATATAGATTTTGCTCCCAGGAAGTGTTGCAAAAAGCACATCAAAGTTGCGGGACATTTTGTATGTAAGTATGAATGTTTTATTGTGGTTGGTTGGTTGGTTGGTTTGTTGTTTAACGCCGCACTCAGCAATATTCCAGCTATATGACGGCGGTGTGTAAATAATCAAGTCTGGACCAGACAATCCAGTGATTAATATCATGAGCATCGATCCACACAATTGGGATCGATGACATGCATCAACCAAGTCAGCGAGCCTGACCACCCGATCCCGTTAGTCGCCTTTTACGAAAAGCAAAGTCGCCTTTTAAGGCAAGCATGGGTTGCTGAAGATCTATTCTACCCCAGATCTTCACGGGTCGTTATATTGTGGTATGTCCAGGACTTCCTTCTCACATCCAGCAACAGGATGTTTGTTCAATGTGTTTGATGCCATCTATCTGTTTTCGATGTGGCCATACCGACATAATGGACATTTCTTGTCTAGTTTTATGTCTTTCGGGTGAGTTTCAAGGATGAAATAGGCATCTTCAAGATTTGTTTTACTTTTTCAGTGCTCAGAAGACATGTGTAAAAACCCTATTCTATGTTAAATAAAATCAGTATCACTACAAATATATAATCAACTAGTATAGAGTCAAAGTAGCCCCGGGTAGCATAGTTATCTGAAATAATCAGGTAAACAGTATCAGTTGAATGTATCACTGCGCAACATTTAGATATGTAGTTGTGTGAAGTAAACATTGTTCTTTTAAGTTAAGCAGTGCACTCCTATCCTCTTAACTTTGTTTACAAATTTGTTTGGACGTGTTGCAAGTTGCAGGTGTGTTTAGGAGTTAACCACGCTAAATTGGAACTTGGAACTGAACATGGAGCTTGAGATATCGACTGTTAAATTTCACTGTTAAAGAAGCGCAGAAAGAAGTGATGCAGTCATCCAATCAGCCATTTCAATCAGTGGTGGTCATTGTCATTTGATACCTCTGATTGACCATGAATCAGAATCAAGTACTTTCCCAATTCATGGTAGAATTCTTATCTCTTTCACTCTAAATTCTTAATTTGTATCCTCTACACTAGAGCACAGAATACCTAGGTACATGTATATACACTTGCCACACCGATTACCTACCTTTTCTGTGCCGAGGAACAACATGTGTTCACAGAAGTGGGCAAGACCAGGCAGATCTGTGGGGTCACTCATGTGGCCTGGACAATATAAACAATACTGGTTAGTAACTCTGTATAATGTCACAACAGAGGACAATATAAACAATACTGGTAAGTAACTCTGTATCATGTCACAACAGAGGGCAATATAAACAATAGTGGTTAGTAACTCAGTATAATGTTACAACAAAGGACAATATAAACAATACTGGTTAGTAACTCAGTATAATGTCACAACAGAGGACAATATAAACAATAGTGGTTAGTAACTCAGTATAATGTTACAACAGAGGACAATATAAACAATACTGGTTAGTTACTCAGTATATTGTTACAACAGAGGACAATATAAACAATAGTGGTTAGTACTTCAGCATCATGTTACAATAGAGGACAATATAAACAATAGTGGTTAGTAACTCAGTATAATGTCACAACAGAGGACAATATAAACAATACTGGTTAGTAACTCAGCATAATGTTACAACAGAGGACAATATAAACAATAGTGGTTAGTAACTCAGTATAATGTTACAACAGAGGACAATATAAACAATACTGGTTAGTAACTCCGTATATTGTTACAACAGAGGACAATATAAACAATAGTGGTTAGTACTTCAGCATCATGTTACAACAGAGGACAATATAAACAATACTGGTTAGTAACTCAGTATCATGTCACAACAGAGGACAATATAAACAATACTGGTTAGTAAAAGTATCTGCTAGTAAAAGTTTCAGGCTAGGGTTGCATCTTATGCCAGGCATAAAATAGGCTATGTGTATCTTCCCAAGGCAAGGGAGATAACAGACTTCAAAAGTCCAGTTTCTTGTCGAACTTTGCTGGAATTTAAGAGTTATATATTATGGACAACACAATGACTGCCATGCAGATTTCGGTTGATTGCAGGATTGTAAAGTATGTGTAACGTCAAATGTGTGTCTACAGATATTTTCCAAACCTTTTCATGTTTTTAATAAAGGTGCTCAAATGATTTGATGCATCTTGCAAGGTAATATTACAAAAAAAGATTTTGATTATCGATCAGATCATCTTGACTGGGCGCCCCCATTTTGTTTGAAGCGAATGCAATTGATACCAGAGGTGGAATCTGATTGGTCAGAAAGAGGGTCATAGAAGGGGGACATAACTTGTAACAGCCACTGGTGGTGATCCGATCGAGCCAGAAAATTCCAGCCTTGTTCGGCAAGGGTGGAAACTGGATTTTTATGATTGTCATGCCAATACCTTGGTAGTTTTGCATTTCAAGTTTTAATGAGTGAATTTTGAACACAAAAATCAAAATGCTACCTGATGCAGGTTTCAGGTTTCAAATCTTATACCTTTAATAACGGGACTAGTTCAAGGGATCAGTGGAACGGGGTATTGAGTCCAGACTTTATATTGTGTTTGTCAGACATGGCCTGATTGTAACCGCATGCACCACTAACCGATGTTGACATTCATGGCTGCTGCTGACTTGTCAGTGTCGGAGTCGCTGATGAGAAGTAACTTCATCCCATTGGTGAGTTCCAGGCCTCGATACAGACGTTTGTCCTGAGCTGACCTCAAGATGTCGCCATTCTCCCACACCTGCTTGATGCTCTCTGTCGCCATGATGAAAGGAGACCTCAACCTGCAACATGGTAGTGCCAAAACTAGAACAATGCTACATCGTGTCATATACCAGTACTGACAGGGAGACTTAGGGAGACCTAGGAATCATTCTACAATACAACCACCATACAACCCACCACACAACCCACTTGTAGTGGGATGATATACAGATGCCTGGGTGGATCATGATCTTTAACTTCTCGATACAGGTGTCGGTCACAATTGCACACTACGTAAAAAGTATCGATTTTTACCATAAATGTATTCTTTAGAAATGTTACACCAAACACTAATTACTTGTGAAAATGAGTACTGAAAACATAAATATCTTCATCCATTGTGCTATATTTGACACTGCCAACAGCGGTAGAAACTAAAAATTTTTGTCCACTCGTCCTTATAATGATAACATATATTAAAACCTTTCAAAATGGCAAATTTCTACTAGTCCTTAGGAAACCTTAACTATTGGGCAGTTTGGCAAGGACTACAGGACTAGTGCCAATTTCTAACCCTGGCCAACTGTAAATCGTTAGTATGTGAGATATTTGGCCATACTGTCTATGAAAAAGATGGCTTACGCACCACAGATAAGAGCACATGCAAGTATCGTGATACATATCGGATTGTTGAAAAGACTTCCGCCCATATCCCCCCTCCAAAAGTCCAAAAGTTATATATGAATGCATTGCCGATCAATCGTTTTAATTAAACGGAAGATGATATGAAGATACAGGCGCAAGTCTTAGCCATCAGGGGCAACACATTAACTTGTGAATACTAGTTATCGTGTGTACATACACATGCTATATTGGCGATCGGGTCATGAGATAGACGTGTATTTGTTGGTTATCGCAAGCAGTCGGAACGGTTCGCCTGCTTATTGCCCACGGCTCTGATCACTGATTAGAGTATAAATTCCGGCAATCTGCTCCAACCAACCAGACTGCCATTCCTGCACAAGGTTGTGACACACCACCTCTCCAAGTCGAAATATTCTATACAACACTGGGCGAGATCCCCGCGACAATGACAACAAATTACCTACCTGTGTTTCTGATTTCTGCTTGTTGACACCGACAGAAACCTGACAACTGGACCGCTCGATTTGTAATGAAATAATCCAACAGATTGCAAAAATAACTTACGTATTTTCATTAAAAAACAAAGGCAATTCAGAACAATATTGAGAAATTAGGAGCCATATGTTAGATTAATTTTCATTCGCAGCATCGCCAGATGGTTCGCAGTTGAATATTTCATCAAAATGTGTAGATTTGCTTTTGGAACTCTTTAGTGAAGGAGACGCAAAGATTTCTATTTCCGGTCAATATATAGTCTATTTCACTACTCTTCACACCAAAAGTGAGTCATAGCGATATAGAGGATATTTCATGTGTCGAGTAAAATATCATGTTTCTCTCACCGGGTGACGGGGGGAAAGGAGATATTTTCAAATATCTCCTTTCCTCCCGTCACGAGATGAGAGAAACATGATATTTCACTCGACACATGAAATATCCTATTTATTATATACTTTTGGTGTAGTTGTCTGCAGGAAGATTAAATTATTTCATTACAAATGTAAAACCTTCAAGCGTAAATTCTCCCTACATAACACACATGGACGGTTTTCTACCCCCTGTAAGTACGACTAAAAATGTAGTTCCGTATTTGCTAAATCTTAAAAAATATAAACAACAGTAACCAAAAATATTTGATGTCACTAAAATTCTTTAGTAAATATTTGGATATGATTAAATACAAAATCAACTTCATCAAAATAAATTTCAAATCAATGAGACAGTTGTTCGAAGCGAAAGAATACACGCAATTCAAGTCACAAAATGGCGCTTTGCGAAACGTAAAGTATCGACTGACAAATCAGAAGAGAAATTCACAGTTTAATACAAATCATTTTCAACAAAATAACAAACGGTAAGAATCGGTATTAACTACATAAATGACCATCTGTCATTATATGACTTGTCAACGTTGAACTGACGTAAATCAACAGTTTGTGTACGAGCTGTCTGTGTAGGCCAACAGTTCCGTCAACGTGTTATGTTCACTGCAGTGAAATATCAGGTGTTATGTTCACTGCAGTGAAATATCAGGTGTTATGTTCACTGCAGTGAAATATCAAGTGTTATATTCACTGCAATGAAAATATCACTTTTCTCAACTTCAGAAAACTCAGTCTTTCACACTGAAGTATATAATAAAAGTAAGGCTTCCCGGATTGTGTAAGATATCGTATTCACGATTGGGCAGTAGCGTGCGGTTTGCTATCGGTCTAAAATATTTGATACACAAACTGAATAGTTTTTCATAGAATACGGAATAGATAATGCAACTGCACATTGTATAGTCGTGGATGCCTAAATAAAAATACTTTATTATTAAAAAAACCCACAGGTAAAGGTGAAACGCGCATTTCTTTCTGCAATCGGGCTATATCGCTGTGCGGAGTTTGACATGTCGTCTGCTTCAGCATGGCCCCAAAGGAAAAGACATTTAGCACACAGGAGATAAGATTAATTAACAAGATGTCAAATTATGAGGTATTAAAGTGACCCCAAAAGTTTGGTATGAACCGATCTACAGCGGAAAAGATCCTAAAACGATATAAAACCCGGGAATCACTTGAACACTCATCCAGATGTGGCAGACTCAGAAAGATGAGATGAGGAGAAATGGGGTTTACGTCGCGTCCAAGATTATTGCACTTATATAATAGTGACGTGCATGCACGTGTGTGTGTCTGTGGCTGCGTGTATACTCGGACCCCATGGTACCGCGGCATTCATCGTATCGCGGCATTTGTGATTTCCGGTAGTTCACGCGGGACACGCCTCTTAGCAGCTGTCTATTTATGCTAATCAGTAACCAGGAAGTGCTCACTTCGTAAACAATTTCAATTTCCTCGGAATGTTCCGTCTGCTATAAGTAAGGAGTTATTAATGCGTTGATACATATTTCTGGCATCTTTTGTAATATTACCGTACCCCCATCTATCAATGGCCAACGATATAACCCGCAGTTCCCCAAGTAAACTTTCTCTATCGACCTGAACTAGATCATCTGCATATTCATGACGACTAATAAGGTAACGGAAGTTACGTAGTCCGCACATTTTTTCCCGCTCTGTGTCAAGAAACTATTGGGAGATCATAAGGGCCATAATGCCAAACTTAGAAATACGTTCTTCACTAGTAGCCAAAAGATAAATACATACTTTGGGCATACTAGGAGTGTTTTTTAAAATATTCATTGTTAACGTTTAACATTTTTCCATTATGTGACAAATTATTGTCATCCAATTTTTTTAAAACGATCTTAGAATATCATTTCTGATATTTTGTTTTTGATTTTTAAAATACTTTTCTCTTACCTTTCTGTAAACATGCATTGAATACCTATTACAGATAACACATTTCGAATTTTACTTGTGCTGTCTTTGCACTTGTCTGGACAAATCACTGATATCTGGCATGATCATACTAAGTGGTTGGTAGAATTATGTCTTCTTTTTGTCAAATTCGGACCTCCATACACAACTTTTCTCTGTACCGCGATACGATGAAGTTCTCTCCCTTGTCAAACTGAGCGCGAGGCCCGGCTTTTACTCGGAGCTACTAATGTAAATAATGAACTTTTATCAGTAAAATATGCATTGTTAGATCAAATAAATGATATCTGATATAGAGAACACGAATACCCATAACGGTTAGTGAGTGCATTTTGTTCCGTGCAGCGTACATGACAAGTACCGCGATACCCCGAGGTTGCAGGCTACTACTCCGGACTGATGCCGATATATAGTACTAGCCCACTGAGATACCATGCCGCAGTTTGACTCCGAGCCGACCAGTCCTTGCATCTCCTTAATGTCGAGCGCCAGGCTGGGTAACAAGTAGAACCATATTTTAACGTCTTTTGGTGTGACGCGGCCAGGGATCGAACCCCGGATCTTCCGTTCTCCCGGAGGTTGCTCTACCACCAGACCACGGAGGCGGTCTCAGACCCAGAAAGAGTGACGATTGCGGAGAGGTATGTTCGCGAGCATTAGGTAACCGAAGTGTCTTGGCGAGCATGCTGTAACCGAGGTGTGTTGGCGAGCATAGGTGACCGAGGTGTGTTGGCGAGCATGCTGTAACCGAGGTGTCTTTGCGGGCATGCGGAAACCGAGGTGTCTTGGCGAGCATACGGAAACCGAGGTGTCTTGGCGAGCATGCGGAAACCGAGGTGTGTTGGCGAGCATGATGTAACCAAGGTGTGTTGGCGAGCACGAGGTAACCCAGGTGTGTTGGCGAGCATGCTGTAACCGAGCTGTCTTGGCGAGCACGAGGTAACCCAGGTGTGTTGGCGAGCATGCTGTAACCGAGGTGTCTTTGCGGGCATGCGGAAACCGAGGTGTCTTGGCGAGCATGCGGAAACCGAGGTGTCTTGGCGAGCATGATGTAACCAAGGTGTGTTGGCGAGCACGAGGTTACCCAGGTGTGTTGGCGAGCATGATGTAACCAAGGTGTGTTGGCGAGCACGAGGTAACCCAGGTGTGTTGGCGAGCATGCTGTAACCGAGCTGTCTTGGCGAGCACGAGGTAACCCAGGTGTGTTGGCGAGCATGCTGTAACCGAGGTGTCTTTGCGGGCATGCGGAAACCGAGGTGTCTTGGCGAGCATGCGGAAACCGAGGTGTGTTGGCGAGCATGATGTAACAAAGGTGTGTTGGCGAGCACGAGGTTACCCAGGTGTGTTGGCGAGCATGCTGTAACCGAGCTGTCTTGGCGAGCACGAGGTAACCCAGGTGTGTTGGCGAGCATGCTGTAACCGAGCTGTCTTGGCGAGCACGAGGTAACCCAGGTGTGTTGGCGACCATGCTGTAACCGAGGTGTCTTGGCGACCATGCTGTAACCGAGGTGTCTTTGCGGGCATGCGGTAAGCGAGGTGTGTTGGCGAGCATGATGTAACCGAGCTGTCTTGGCGAGCACGTGGTAACCCAGGTGTCTTGGCGAGCATGCTGTAACCCAGGTGTGTTGGCGAGCATGCTGTAACCGAGGTGTCTTTGCGGGCATGCGGAAACCGATGTGTGTTAGCGAGCATGAGGTAACTGAGGTGTGTTGGCGGGCATTAGGTTACCGATGTGTCCTGGCAAGCATGTGGAAACCGAGGTAGAGTCACAACCAGTGTCAGTGGTGTATAAAAGTCATTTTATCCAGAACTGACACTGGTTATGACCCGTTACTGCTTCCTTTCACCAGAGAACATAAAGTAGATTGTGTGGTCTCTGCTTTTATACAGTATTGACACTGGTTGTGACCCAATATCTTGTAGCCGCTAAACTTTGCGTTTCAAGCCCCTGTGATCTGACCCTGCTGTTTCGGAGATTGTGTCTTCGTCTCTCCCGCATACACACGCTATCCACGCTAGACTACCCTCGAGCATAGGACAGGTCCTAAGAGCACCTCTCGGTTTTATTTGTACAATTGGGGCAACTACAGTTCGTTGTGCTACTGACAAGTGTTATACATTTCATTCGTCGCATTGACTTGGAGATATATTATTATTGCCAGTCACGGGCAGGTTTAAGGGCTTGTTACAGCACAGTAATATAACAAGCCCTAAAACCTGCCCGTGAGTGGGATTGGATCATAAATATCACAAACATTATAAGTCTCTTATTAATTATACGTGTAAATATCTTCCCCAAAACATCGATAAGGACTGATCATTTATCATTGGGAGGCGGGCATGAAATAATGTTACATAAACTGGGGGCGGAGTCAGAAAACTATAACACAGCCCTTATAAGGTCAATCTCAGCGATTGAATGACTACAGTGACATTAACACCAAATCGCATTCCCTTTTCCATAGATCTTTACTGTACAAGTATGGACGAGAAATCATTAGTTTGTTTTGCAAAGTTTAATCCAAAAACATTTATGAAAGGTAGAAAATAATTTGATGAATGATTTGTGAACAGGAAACGTTTATGGCATTGTATTCTGAAGAGGTGTATACATAGTGAAATATGTGATGTGCTGACAAATGTGTGTATTCAAAGGTTGAATCTGCTATAAAAATATTTCTTTGCTCCATTTTACAATATTTCAAAGCTGTTAGTGGTATACAACAAGGGTGTGCCTTCAGTCCGCTGCTTTTTTCTTGTTTATTCTAGAATTAGAAAATGTAATACTTGCCTGTTTACTGTTGGTCAGGATTCCTTTGATATTTTGATATTATTATATGCCGATGTTTGATTATATAGTTATTGGTGTACAGAAAAAATATGTTCTTAAAACGTTCTGTACCACATGGGGTTTGAATGTGAATTTGGATAAAACTGACATTTTAGTTTTTAGCAATGTCTAAGTCAAGAGGCTAGAGAGATAGAGGTATGGTAATGTCTGTGTCAAAATATCTGCTTATCATAACAATCTTAGATTGTTATTTTCTAATCGATTAATTAACTCACGTGTACATAAAGCAAACAAAGCATTATTTACTCTAAATAAATTACAATATGAATATATAAACAGTTTAATGACAGTCTTATTTAAGATATTTGATACCCAAATAAAACCTATTGTGGTATACTTGTATTAATCTGAAATAATTAATCTGGTTTATTTATTGTTTATCATAAATATTCTTTCAAATGGTTATCAATGCCAAATAATAGATACCCTAAGCAATGCTATCTTTTAATTAGATTCATTAGATCAGTGTTTTCGTTAAACATGGGTTACATATGCCAAACAATCCTTATTTACCTATGGATTGGTCCTGTTTGGATTTCACAGGAAGTTGGAGACGGAACATTGCATATAAAATATAATAAAACTTGTAATCAGCAGGATTGATGTGGTAAAGTATCTGAATCCAACAAATGAATAATGAATATGAATCGATGTTAACTGTTGAAAATTGTTTGTCTACACTAACATGTCGAGAACATAGAAGTTATTTTGTTGTAAGAGTATAAGAATTGTCAATAATGGTGAATGTTGGTAGACGATATGGTATTGACAAATGTAAAAGACTCTCTCTGTTATGCAGGAAAAAGAAGATGAATTTCTTCTTTCTTTTTAAACTTTTTGTTAATATGCCTTTTATCATGCCGACAACAAAGTGTTATTATTAACCTTTGTAAATATAAATGTGTAAAGGCGGCTTTAGCTACAAGGAAATGCATTGTTACTATGTAAAATAGTATGCTATCTTGTACACGTCATCCGTTATATTCTTCCGCATGTACACTGTTACAAATAACATATTTGTACAGTGGCCACAGGTGGTCCAGTGCACAGGTGAAGTTCATCTACTGAGAATTTCTAGTCCTGCCCACACTGAAGCAAAAGTTTGTTTGTTGTTAATGTTGGTTGGCTGGTTGGCTGGTTGTTTACCGCCGCACTCAGCAATATATCAGCTATATGATGGCGGTCTGTAAATAATCGAGTCTGGACCAGACAATCCAGTGATTGATATCATGAGCATCGATCCACGCAATTGGGATCGATGACATGCATCATCAAGTCAGCGAGCCTGACAACCCAATCCCGTTAGTCGCCTTTTACGACAAGCATAGTCATCTTTTACGGCAAGCATGTGTTGCTGAAGACCTATTCTACCCCGGAATCTTCACGGGTCGTTGTTTATGTAACACATGTGGCCTCTCATTAGGCAAATGACTTTGTTCGAAATGTGCCTCTGCTCACCCAGCAGTGAATGGGTACCCGATAGGATGAGGTGAGATGGGGTTTAACGTCGCGTCCAAGATTATTGCACTTATATAGCGACGTGTAGGTACGTGTGTGTGTGTGACTGCTTGTACTAGTCCGGACTGATGCCGGTTTATAGTGCTAGCTCACTGAGATGCCATGCCACAGTTTAACATGAATATCCCACTCAGACACAGTATACTGACTCCGATCCGACCAGTCCTTGTTTTAGTCCCTTAATGCAGAGAGCCAGACAGGGTAACAACAAATACCATTTTTTAACGTTTATGACGCTGCCTGGGGATCGAATCCCGGACCTTCCGCTCTCCGGGCGGACGCTCTATCACTAGAGCACGGAGGCGTCTCCCGGTAGGATGAGATGGCAATGTGGTTGTTAACTTGTTGTCAGTACAGAATACAGATGTGCTGTAATTACAACTCGTATTAAGCGCTGGAAAAGTTATAGTTGTGGATAGTGCTCAAAATCGAGTGTTAATGTTATTTCTTTCATATATGTACACGTGTATGAAGAAGTAATATTTTAGTTACTTATTTTTCTGACTTTCAGAAGTAATATAGGTACAATCATCTACTTTATAACATAATATGTCATATGACTTTCAGTGTCACAAGACATACTCAATAACTATCTTCAGATAATGATATTATTAACAATACTTTGCTTTTATTCGTTAACAGGCTGTTTTCAATTACTCCGGTTCTCCAAGCAATGACTCCCTGTCAACCTTATTTCGACCACCTTGTGAATTTGTTGATAACCAACGATGCACTCAAGGAAACTGCCCTTGGTATGTGACTAAACTCACTAATTCCTGACAAAGACAAAACAAAGTATCCTTCAGATTGTTTATATCATGCATTGGGCGTTTTCATCCGGTTTTTTTCAAACTTAATACGCATTCATGTCTTCATCAAATATCTGTTATCAGAAAATAACCCTATGCGCATCTAATGTATTGCTTCCACCATAAAGACTTCGGCAAGGGTTGAAACTGGACTTTTTATAGTCAGTTAACTCTCTTGTCTCGGTAAGATGCATAAGGACATGTGTTGAGACAACAATTATTCATATGATACTTGCTTTGTTTATTGCTCTATATCATTTTATAACGATTATATCATTGCAAATAGTAATTTGTCGTACATAATGTTATCAGTAGGTAGTGTCTCGTAAGACAAGATGTGTCTGGTTGGTTAACATATTTTACAATAGTAGAGAATGTTTTCCCTATGTGTGTTTAACTTGTAAAACTTTAATAAACTATATCGGTCTGTCCGTATGCATACGCTGGTCTACGCAAGCCAAGAGTGAGTGAGTGGGTGAGTGAGTGAGTGAGTGAGTGAGTGATTGAGTGAGTTGTTGATGGGAGCAACCATTTGATTTTCGGGTGTTTAAAACAATAACCAGACGGCTGTTTTACAGGAATAGGGGAAAAAATACTGCGCCCTTTCCTTGCAGACGGCTTGTATTGAAAAGTCAAAGTTTCATTCACAACTGCTTTTCTTAAAGGTGCAGACTGTATTGAAATGTAAAAAAATACAAGTTTTGTTTATTTATCTTAAAAAGGAAATAATTGAGCAATGTTGAAAATAATTAATGAGCTCCTACACATTAATATAAATGCTGATCTCAAAACCAAGATCACGTGCTTCGGATGCTCATGGTCATCCTATGAACATACATAACATGTAATTAGTTATTCTTTCATGTTTTTCACGGGGGCACGGGTGGCCCACTCGTGTAAGGCGCCGCAATTCGCTGTGCAGAGTTGCGTCCCTTCGGCACGCCAGAAACCTATTTTGCCAGATTGTGGGTTCGTATCCCGGTTCGCCCCGATTATGTTTCTAGGTTTGTCAGCACCATACCCGTGCTCGTGGGTTTCACCAAAGTGGTAAACGTCTGAGACCTGCATCACTTCGGGCTTTCCTCCCACATTAAGCTGACACGCCGTGATATGACTGGAATACTGTTAAAAGCGGCGTAAAACCCAACTCACTCACTCACTCATGTGTTTCACGTACCAATTTCAGTTCTGGATAACCCCGAGGATGCAAGTATTTTCACGAGATTGACAAAATGGTTTCTCGGTACTGTATTGTTTATCTATTCTTCCAAGTTTTATGTTCATAGGTGGTGTTGGCACTTATATAGTGACGTGCATGTGCATGTTCTTTTGTGTGTATCTGTAATTAATTTTACAAAGAGCAAAATAGTGTTCAAATTTCCCGCGTCAAATGTAGCAGACTCTATTATCCATAGTTCACAGCTGACATTGTATTTGTGTATGTTGGTATTTTGGATGGTAGGGGGTAAAAGGGTTTTTCCCTCCTAACTTTTGTTTTCAACTTATAACATTTTAAAAGTCCTAACGCTCTTTAGACAGTCGAATATAGCTTGATGCTTCACATCTATTGTTTTTTGGTATTACTTCACAGATCCGCTCTGGGCGATGAGTTCCAGGCTCTGGGCCATTATCCGAGGTATGTTGATAATGTCAGTATCTCGGCGACTAGCTCAATCTGTATCATGAGTGTTTGTGAGTGAGTGAGTGAGTGAGTGAGTGAGTGAGTGAGTGAGTGAGTGTGTGTGAGTGTGTGTGAGTGAGGAGAGTGAGTGTGTGTGTGTGTGAGAGTGAGGAGAGTGAGTGTGTGTGTGTGTGAGTGTGTGTGTGTCAATGTGTGTGAGTATGTGCGAGTAAGTGTGTGTGTGTGTGAGAGTGAGGAGAGTGTGTGTGTGTGTGAGAGAGAGTGAGTGTGTGTGTGTCAACGTGTGTGAGTATGTGCGAGTGTGTGTGTGTGTGTGTGTGTCAATGTGAGTGAGAGTGTGTGTGTGTCAATGTGTGTGAGTATGTGCGAGTGAGTGTGTGAGAGAGAGAGTGTGTGTAAGGTAAGCATATTCGTGCATCACATGTATGCTTGCTGAACCTTACCGCGTATATCACGCTTGAGCTCAGGTAAATTATTAATATTTATTTATCTGTCGTGTAATATTGTGTTCACGATAATAATTTGGTTGTTTGGAGCAATGCAAATTGCAGTCACGAATCCACAGTACCATGTATTCGTGCCTAAGCACACTAACTTACAAATACAGACTTCTATATTCCTAATATTTTAAATACGATTAATGAAGAAAAATCGGAGTTAATGCTTTGATAATGACTGTAGATTAGTTAGAAGGGGGAGCGGCGTGCATTACGTGGGCTCAGAAGTAACAGATCATAAGAAAATTATAGAATCTACAAAAACATTAGAAATTAGGCAATAAGGAAAAAAATAAGTTGATCATTAAACAAAAACAACCACATAATTAGATATACGCTTTAGTGAAGATTAAACAACGTTTTGGAAATCCGCGAATCCTGTCACATTTCGTGTTCATTTTCACTGGAGTCATGGTTCACTCATTCCAGTGCTCTTTTCAAGAAAATCAAGCTTATGGGGATATTAGGGTTACATTTTCGGAAGTACACGAAGAAATGCAGAATGTCACTGGGGGAATTAATTCTGATATTACTTTTAAAGAAATTGTTTAAGGAATTAAAACTGTATTTATTAGAATACCTGCACATATTGTTTGTACATATTTTGAAATAGGATATTCCCACAGCAATGGACACTTGGTATAATTCTTCCAATATATAAAATATATATGAGTAAGTTATTTACTTCCGTTTCAAATGATAGATTATCTACATGAAAAAATCTAATATGAAAAAAAAATTAACTGAGAAGCAAGCTGGCTTTAGATTAGGCTGCTGTACAACATACAACATATTTGTGCTAAATGCTATGATCCCCAAATATTATCTAAACGCAAAGGAGCATTTTATGTAGCCTATATCGATTTTTAAAAAAACTCTCGATTCAGTCGATAGAAAACGCCTCGTTGTTTTCCTTGGTCTTTCTGGTATAATTCTTCATGCTTTACGTTCAATTTACGACAGTGTAAAATGCAAAGTTAAAAAAGATAAGTTATATATTTTCTGGACTGTTCAATTGTACAGCTGGTTTAAGACAGGGTTGTATCCTCAGTCCGTTGTTATTCTCCCTTTATATTAATGAACTAGTGTACGAATTGAATATAAAATTTGATAGAGGAACGCAGCTATACTCTATAGCTTATAGAGTTATTGATATTACTATTGTACTTATACCGTATTTTGGTCTTCAGAACCATTTGAATACTCTAAAATCATATTGTGATAAATAGAAATGGTCAATATTGATAAAACTAAAATAGTTGTCTTAAACAAAAGGAAAAATATGGACCTCTGAAAAAATGTGAATCTTGGGAATTTTGAGTTATTTTCACTTCAAATCTAAATACGCATAAATCACTTGATGCCACTTCCTTTCAAGGGAAAACGCGCTTTGTACATTGTAAGAATCATGAATAGCTTCGGTTATTTAACCTATGAATTTTTTTTTTCTCAAAATATTCTTCATGAAAATAAAAAAAGTACGAGAATCTGTACTTTACAAAGAAAATGTTATCCCAAATAAATCAATGTTGGTATAGTTTCTTTTGCCCGTCAGTTTATAACATTTGTTACTCTTTTACGTAGTTTTCAAATAAAGTCAAATTAAAACACGTTTGCTTAAACTTATAAATTTAGCTCCATTTATTGATTTATTTTATAGGGTGGTGCGCACCCCCACCCAACCACCTCATTTCTATTTTCTTATAACACGTTTTGGCATCATATTAAAGTTATTTATCGTACAAATCTTTGAGTCCTTAACACTCCGTAACAATCTGACAGCTTTAGCTTTATACTAGTACCATTGCTCGTCCGTTTCTCTCACTTCTTTACTGTGAAATCTAGTGACACGAATCTCCTTACATGTTCTTCATGGAACAATCACTTCTGTTTCAGATAACCTCATTGTTCAAAAGACCACAACTGCAGTTACGACAGTGAGGGACAAGTACCCTGGTATTACGCTGATGCTTTTTTTCAATTCTTGAATGCTTTCTCCAGATAGAGAACACAGAATTGTATTTCTTCTTGGAATATCGAACGTCTATCAGAAACCCCTGAGCAAAAATCGACAGAGTAGTCTCCCCGGACAACTTTCCACTTCCGGCGCGTACAGGCGAAACGAAACGTAATAGATGATACGTGACATTCTACCATGAATTTGGAATTTACTCGATTCTGATTGGTCAATCAGAGGCTATTAAATCACAATAAACCCCCTCTGATTGAAACAGCTGGTTTGACGGCCCATTCGTCACTACACGCCTCTTTCCGTAACCGGCTTGTCCCGGAATAACACGAGTTGGTCACGAATGTTGACGGCCTAATCACCGCGGAAGATAATATTCATAGAATAGTACTATTTTCAGTCATTGTCGGTAGGCATATTTAAATAATTATATCTACAATTACAGGTTACACAATGCACAGATGCGGTTACTACAATATTCAAAGGATGTGTGGCAATACATTTCGTGCAGAAAACACGACAGAAATCTACAAAGGGAATGTATTTACGTTTTGGAGACAACGAGGAGCTTAGAATTTTGGCGCTTTTTTCTATACGACTGTGACGTCATATCTTTTGTGTCACAATGAGCGATATGACGTCATAATGGTGACGCGCAATGTAGAGCGAAAGCCTTGCAAAGCTTGCTTTGTTAACTTTAGGGATGCCCACCTTATGTTAGCTTACCAAGTTGCCGTGTTTATATGCTTTCAATGCCTGTCATATGTTCGAGTGAAGTATAACGATGTAAACAAACTGCTTGAGTATATACAGCGCCATATTTTGTTTGGTGATTCCGTAATTCAGATCGATAACCCACCCAAAACACTGAACTCAACCCATGCCGCTTCACTCAGTATATTTGCTAACACCAAAGAGTTCGCGTTTTATTTAGTCATGGTAGAATGGAGATAAACATACTGTGTTTATCTCCTAATTTATTTACGAATAACAATCACTTTATTCTAAATTACATCATCTTTTCGGGATGCCTTCATTAGATGATCATATTGGGTCGATATATATACATGTTTGCTGGCAACAAAAATTCTCAATACCAACATCTGTCACTGGAAAAAGGGTAAACTGCGAGAAATTATTGAAATACAAGGAAAGAAGAAGCCAGCCATTCAAAGAAACCAATGCCAACTTAGTGTCATTTACTAAATATAATTTCTATTTCGTTTGGAATAATATTTAAAAAATGTAATGTAGTACGCTGCACACTAAACACAGCGAGGACTATCTTTTAGTGTGTTATACAGCCATCATACAAAACCTACCACAGGATATTGTTTCATTTTATTATACCCCCGTTTACGAAGTAAATCGGGGGTATATAGCGTTCCGTTCGTCCGTCCTTCCGTCCGAGCTTTTGTACGGCCCATAACTTTTTAACCATGTACCCTAGCTTCACCAAACTTGCTACACACATTTATCACAATGAGTACTTGTGCCTTTTGCTAGTTTGAAGATTCTGAACTATTTTTATTTTTGCCGTTTCCATGGAAACATTAAGAAACTTAAACTTTTAGGGTGGGTGTTTTGTACGGCCTATATCTTTTTGACTATGCACCCTAGCTTCACCAAACGTGCTACACACATTAACCACAATGAGTACTTGTGCCTTTTGCTAGTTTGAAGATTCTGATTTTTTTGATTTTTGCCGTTTCCATGGAATCATGGTGAAACATAAATTTTGGGTAGAGTTTTTGTACGATCCATGTTTACAATATTATGTATCCTAGCTTCAGCAAACTTGCTACATTAACCGCTATGATTGTTTTTTATCTTTTATAAGATTCTGAAAGTTTTGTCTTTTGCTGTTTTCATGGAAACATGATTGAATTTAGAAATTTTGACGACTGGTTTTGTATAGCTAATATATTTTCAAAAATTGTTTTTCCACACATGTAGATCATCATAAGTATCTGTGCTTTGTGATAGTTTGAATTTATGAATTCTTTACCATATCTGTTAAGGCTAGATGGAAATTATCAATTTATTGATTTTCTTATATGATATTGTTCCATTTTATATGTGTTTTTATATCAACAATTTTTGGTCCTTTTGATAATTCTTCTTATGTAACTCCTCAATCAAATTTTATTCAAAGGTGTTCATGGTGATCTACTTCCTCGTAGTGAACACTGGTAACATTGGAGATTGGGGGGGGGGGGGGGGGGGGGGGGCAATTGTCACTGGAACTTAGTCTTAGTTTTTAAAACATTGAAGTTAAAATCAGTTAGAAATATGTAATTAACAAACTATTTACTATTTGTTGTTGACCAGCGGGGATAACGGGACCAAGGTGACCTTATGCCATACCGTGGTGTCTGTCGTCCGCACGTCAACAATTATTTCAAACGAATTCTTCTTCTTCTGAACCACTAATTGGAAATTAACGAAATTTGACTGGAAGCATCTCGTGGTGGGGATTCAAAATTGTACAAATTGTGGGGCTGACCCCCCAAGGGGCAGAGGGATGGGGCCAAAGAGGGGTAATTTGGCGATTTTGTTTCAAGCGAGTTCTTCTCTGGAACTAGGCGATAAATATCAACCATATTTGGTTGGAAGCATTCTCTGGTGGTGAGGATTCAAAATTGTACAAATGGAGTAGTATAGGTAATGGGTGTTCTGGACCACTTCCACTGGAGCCGGATTCATATACCTATACTGCTACTACAGGTGGCATTTTTTATGCCAAAATGATGATGCGATTCAATGATAGTCATAAGTCGTATTAAAAGAAACATCAATATTAATTAATAATGAATAAAATTTACTATAGCCCACGAGGATATTGGAAAGGTGTAGGAGCAATAAAAAAATTAGCCACCGCGGCTAAGGTATCTAAAGATGTGGCCAAGGATTGGTTAAAGAAACAAGCGATGTGGCAAATATATTTACCAGCACCGCGTTATATACCGAGGAAGAAGTTTGATATTTTTACAACGAATGAAGTTCATCAGGCTGGCCTCTTGTTTCTTCCCCAAGATAAGGTAAAACACAAAACGTATAAATACGCTTTAACGGTAGTGGATGTGGCTAGTCGATACAAAGAGGCTGAGCCATTAACCTCGAAAGATTCAACAGAAGTAGCTAATGCACTGAGCCGCATATATAAACGTGGACCACTAAAATGGCCTAAGCTATTTCAAGTAGATCCCGGTCGCGAGTTTATGGGATCGATAACAAAACTGTTAACAAAGCATGATGTCGAAATCAGGCGTGGTGAAAGAGAGGCCCACCACAGTCAAGCTATCGTCGAAAGATTTAACTGGACATTAGCGAAACGTTTGTTTGGCTATCAGTATGGGATCGAAATGAAATCGGAACGATTGAGATCAACCGAATGGGTTACACGATTATCAGCCGTTGTATCAGCGCTGAATAATGAAGTAACGAGATTAATAGGGAAGAAACCATCCGATGCTATTAAAATGAAATCCATGACTTCCGAATCTTCAGCACCGAGGAGAGGCAAAGAACGAAAACTTCCGGATAGAGTAAGGGTAAGATATTTATACCAGGCCGGTGAACTCGAAGGAGGCCTACGTCGCGCAACCGATCCCATATGGTCCCTTAAGACGTATAACATTAGTCAATTGGTTATGAAAGAAGGAGAGCCTATTCTTTATTATCTTCAAGATGGAACAGGTAGGGCATTTGTACGAGAAGAGTTGTTCATAGTTCCCGACGGGACGGTATTACCACCATAACCATAAGCATAGGTAGTTACACCATCATTATCAATCCATCTCTTTGTATCTAAGGAGGATAATGATGTCTTGTTCATTCTTAATCCATATATCCTATGATTGTAACTTCTTAAAGAGTTCATCTCGTGTTTGAACGTTCTACCGTTGAATAATGATTCTTTATACTGTTTGTGTTTGATATGCTTTTTTACCACATACTTCTTAACGCCCTTGGCTTTTCTTATCTCTCCATTATCGGACTTCTTTATAGAATACATCTTAGGTCTTAATCCGTCATACTCCGCTATAGGGGTCCCAGCACATTCATCCTTCATCTTACCTAACACCTTTTTATTTACTACGCTGTGCAGTGAATTATCTTTAGGGTAATCGCTCGTGTCGTAAATATCTATTTTTTCTGCCATATCTTTATACACATCCTCGGTTTGTATTTCCATCAACAAAGAATCTGTGTCGGTATATAACACCTCGCATCTATCGCCGTATTGCTTCTTAAGTTCGTTGTAATAAAAGTTATACATTAAGTGTTTTGACAAGTCGAGAATACTCATTCAGACGTATCGAATATCTTGCTTCTGTTAAAAGCCGGACTGGCTATAAGTTTCCTGAGTCTTTCTTCCTCATTAGATCTGACTAATTTAACATCAACACGCTTCCTTAGATTCTCCATAGTTTTACCAAATACTGAGTTATTCATGAGCTTATAAAGATTCTTTTCGAAATCGCTGGTAGCTATCTTTCTTAAATCTGTGTTCAACCTTATATAGGGCTCCATCCAAGGGCTTTGATCAAACTTTAGAACTCTGTGTATTTTCTTAAGTTTCATACCTAACGATAGATATAACTGGAGATTTCTGTAGTGAAGTATATATTTTGTCTTATCCATCAAATTTGGTACGAGTTTTTCTACGTTAGCTAACCTACTATTACCCATATTCTGACATCCAATCTTTATTAACCATTCATCTTTCGGGAGCTAGCCGATAACTGTTATGGTCTTTATGTAATGAATTTGGATATTCCAAGTCAACTTCTAGTATGTACCCTTTATTCGCATCATTCACATTGTTATCATTCACTTCAATATCATTCACATCGACCCACTCAAAACCACCCGTGGGTAAAGGTTGACTCATAGCCCATCCGTACAAATTGTTAGCGTCGAGATATAATATGTGCGTGTCGGGTTTACTCGGATCGTATCCTTCCACTAATTTATTATAAGC